TGTCACTCCCGCCGCCTCCGTGCCGCTGCAAATTCCTCCGGTTGGATGTCAGCGACTCGACCGATAAACCCTCACCGGGAAATGGCCGCTGGGAGAAGATGGAGATCTGGTCGGCGGAGAATATCGCCAATGTCACCACCACCGCCTTCCTCGCCGGCTGGTACCGCACGCTGTGCTGCCGCGGACGGTACAGCTGTAAATTCTCTGACGGCGTGGGAGAACCGCGCTGGATGACCGGCATCAACGTCACTACCTGGAATGTGAGTGTGTCTCCGGTGCAAACGGCCGGCGCGCCGCGGCTGAGTATCGAGCTCATCCAGTGGGACCCCTCGGCGCCGCCGGGGTTCTTCTTTCCGCGACTGAAGTTAGACACCTTTGGCCCGAGGAGGTTTCATGTCTGTGAGGATATCACCTTTCACAACAACTCGTGGCAGAAATGTGTGATTTCCGGGCAGAACGACAGCGACTTGGCCCCCGGTCAGTACAGCATCTCCATACGACCCGCGGATGGCGTCATTATGCGTTGCCATGGTTACAGTGACGGGTGTCCCCTGCTGGCTACCGAACATCAGATAGTTTCTGTGCCAACGAGGAACGCACCTCCGCTAGGGACGGAACGAACGAACGCCTGGCCGTACGCTGCAGCGGCCGGCGGAGTCTCGCTGGCGGCCGCGGCGGCGGTCATCACGGTTCTGCTGCGACGACGCACCGGGGCACTGCTGAAGAATCGAATCGTCGTACAGTCTCAGCCTAGCTGTCTCCAAGCGAGCTGTCCTTCGCAGCCTAGCGATCCTGTTGCCTCCCGGCACGGGACTGTACTCTTGTTATATCGAGGCGTTGTAACAACCTCCGTTCAGTCAGCATTGTTGCGTAGTCTCACGGCATCCATGCGCGCCGCGGGACTGTCAGTGCTGAACCTACACGAGTCTCAACTTCAGAGATTGCTGCTCACGGTACCCAGCCCGGCTGAACTACTGAGTCGAGAGCCTCTCCGGTCAGCTCGACTACTCTTCGTAGCCACAGGTGCCGAGTTGGACCTCGACGTCGGACCTCAAGACGGTACAAGTGACAAACATTGCAACGGAAACGTCTGCGGCAGCGGCAGCGGTAGTGGTAGTGGTAGTGCTAGTGGTGCCACGACCGTTGCAAACCGGATGTATGACATGTTGTTGCGATATGTCCGCAACGATAGACACGGTTTGGACTACGGACGGGTGTTTGCGGCGCGCCTGGGCGCCGCCAGCGCCGCTGAGCTGCTCGGTCTGACGGTGGGTAGACTGTTTACAGTGCCGGGAGATGAACAGGTCTTGGTGGAACACCTGAGTGCTAGCGGTGAAAACACAGTTCGAGACACGCCGATGACGTCTACAGTCTGGGTGCACGATAACGGGACAGTACGAAACGAACTAATCGACACGGTGTAGAGATGACCGCGCAGAGATGAGGTAATGCCGGCTCCAGTAAAGCTAGGGCAAACTTGGAACCCGGCGGGGGCTTACCATTACCTGGTGTCAATCTTAGCCAGGCAGAGCGAAACAAAGGAATTAAAGGGGATTGGTAAAATCTGTGTAATTGCTGGTTCCTGCCATCGCATAATCAAAAACAAGTGCGTTGAAGTCAGTCAGCCTTCGATCCGTATGCACCCTTGAACCCAACATCACTGAAACAACGAAGACAACCGCGTTCGCGTGCCGGTCACGTGCTCATCCTCGTCCGGCGGTAGCGCGCTCACGTGCTCGGGACACCACCGTGACCTCATGGTAACTTTTGTCGGGAAGTCTGCGCCACATGGTGCCTTATCGTGCCGCGCGCGTGGCATGGGACGGATAGTGGCTTGCCTTACCGGATGTGTTACTTCCTGTGGACGCCAGTTGTCGCCAAACCGGGCTGCCTTGTGGAAAGATTGAGCTTATGTTCTGGTAAACTTGCTGGAAAGCGAGACGGTAAACAATGAGGAAGTCTGGCAATGAAAGTTCAAAGTTTCTTCGACGACTTTAGAGAGGTAGTATCGGGTCCTGCTTCAATTTCACATTTTTACGACCAAGTTATATTTATTTCAAAAATGTGGTTTCGCTTACGCTTGATTATACGATAGTAAAACAAGTCTTCAGCCGAAGTTCTTCGTTGAGGTTTTAGAATGTGAAGGAATAGTGACTTTAAAGAGTGTTTACAAATATTTATCGATTTCAGACTTCTTTCCTCTGTCCTCTTATGGGTTGGCCAGTATCAGGATGGTAATAACCGTGTAATTCGTTGGCTGTACTTGTTATCGCTATGGGTAGAGGAGAAGAAGGGTCTCATTAGTCATTACCAATAATTGTATCAAAAGTGCCATGTACGCATTTTACGCTGTATAATCATTATCATATTCATCTTTTTTGAAAACTTTTACATCTTGAGTCGTGTTGGAACATTTATGCTCACATTTTGATACGTGTGGTTTTACTCGCGATTTTAGAGTTTTTTTTTGTGCAAGTCATTGTGCCAGTATCGTTCATATGTGCCAGTTTCATGTTATTCGTATCCATATTGACGATACGGGCTCATTTTTTTACAATGTGATGTGTGCCAGCATAATGGCTGTTTTTGCGTCGGAAATGTCGGTCTCTCGTGTACAGAAGGAGTGCTAAGTCGTTTTAAAGCGTTGAACAAGTATAGATATATAACGTGCTTGCCAGACACGCTCAGCTCAGCGCTTTACTTATCGGTCTTTGCCTCTGTGTAAATGTGCTAATGTTGACATTGCAAATGTGTACCTGATGAGTGCATCATGTTTGAGCTTAAAAAAAAAACGGCTTGGACCGTGAGTCTCTGAAGTAATTTTCACAAATGAAAAAACGTGCAAGGGAATGCAAATTACAAACGGATTTTAATTGGATATCGCCCACGTTTGTGTTTGGAATGCGGGCCTTTGCTTTCCTGATGTATTTTGGTGAAATGTTTGTGGTTTCCTTATCCTGTTCCACCCTGTTGGGCTTAATTTGGGCGTGGTGCTGCTTGGGCTTCAAACGAATGGATCATTGAAATGTAGCGCGTAATAAAAATGCAATGAAGCTATGTGTAGATATGCATATCGTGTACGAACGAACATTACCCATATAATTCCAATAAAACGAAAGAAACCACAGAATGACCGTGCTAACGTGCTTATTTGCTGACGATGGGTGGACTTGAACGTTTTTAAATAACGCGCCGGTCATAAGGGGCAATAAATCGCCGAAGAAAGTGGTTGGACGGTTATGAAGCAGGGAGTCGTGCCGCGACCAGACACGTTGAATTCGAGGTCATGAGCATCAGCAAGGTGCCTATGCTGCAATATAGTATGGCTTGTGTGTGGACATCAAAGTCAAGTATTCTATTTCTTTTGTTGTCTCAAATTTGTTGAAATTTGAGATCCTTATGCACTATGCAGTGTAGCTCTAGACAAAATGGCAGTAGGAACCTATAGTAGCTCTAGCTTTATAGCACTGCTTTGGCGTTACTATCTAATCTAATCCACTAGGCCTGTGCGGTTCGACAATGAGAGGCTAAGAAAAGCCAACACAGTAAGACAACACACAACAACAAACAACAAGAGGCGAGTAGAAGTAGTATATTGTAGAGACAAATACAAGTAGAGACAAGTAGAAGAAGTAGTAGTATAGAATTAGACAAGTAGTATGTTGATAGAGACAAGTAGAAAAATACGGAACAAATAGTGCATGGACGCGTTTCGATAATTAAATCTTCATCAGCATGACATAACCACAGATAAAAAAAAAAAAACAGAAGAATATCTTGTTTTCTCTGTGGTTATGTCATGCTGATGAAGATTTAAATCGAAACGCGTCCATGCACTATTTGTTCCGTGTTTTTAACAACAAGTGTCTACAATTACAGCGAAGCCGCTAGCTAGCATGCTAATGAGAAACGATACGGGATACCGAGCAGTTCTCAGCGCTAGGTATCAGGGCTGCGGAGTCGATGGATTTTCGGCGACTCCGACTCCGACTCCGACTCCGGCTTTCAAAAACCAGCTCCGACTCCGACTCCGACTCCGGGCAGAATTGTCGACTCCGACCGACTCCAACTCCCGACTCCGACTCCGCAGACCTAGCAGGGCTGCTGAGTCGACAGATTTTCGGTGACTCCGACTCCGACTCCGGCTCGGGTTTCTAAAATCGACTCCGACTCCGACTCCGACTCCGGTCACAACTGTCGACTCCGACCGACTCCGACTCCGACTCCGACTCCGACTCCGCAGCCCTGCTAGGTATTATGGGATCCGATTCCGGCCATGCGGAGCCAATATTCCCCAATGCGGGACAGTCTACCTTCAGGCGTCTACCGCTGCTGCCATCTAGGGACAAGATAATGTACTACTCAAACTACTCCGTGTAAGCGGCACAGCCTACCTTCAGGCGCAAGTCGCTGGACGCTGCTGCCATCTAGTGACGGAAAGGTGTACTACATTAATAGCCCTGCAGCCTGGTATGGTCTTTTTCTAGCGGACATTACCGGCCGATGTGTAATGAATAAACATCTTGGGATGAATCGTTGTGGTACCAGAAAGGGTGACGTAAAACTTACTGACTCGCTGGCGTTACTGGCGGATCAAGGGGGGGGGGGGGGGCATTTCGGGCAATGGCTCCCTCCTGCGGCGCTCGAAATCGATGCAAATTTGTGTTTTTTTCGACTTTAGAGAATAATACGAAAAGTTAACAGCTTCAATGGGGAAAAGCTTTACGCACAGCAGTGCGTAAAGAATCGGAATCCGATGAGTCTTTTTTACTTTGGTTTTTGTCGTCCATGTTTCTATCACTGTTTTATTGGGTGCTCTAAAGTTTATTGTCTAAAATTTGTTTCTTTCACTCAGAAATTTTGAGCCTTTTATGTTTTTACGTTATTTATACTCCAACATTCAAATTAAACGGACCTGGTACTGGAATAACAATTTAGTAGTGTGTAGTTTTATGTTTTGCCGCTCTCGCCACATTGAGCGTCATTTTGAGGTTCTTCAAGGAGATCGGCCGCCATTTGTAATCTGCGCGTGTGTTGTGTTTTGTATCGGCGTGGGTGACCGTGCCGGTAAACTGGTCGGCGTTTTGTGTTCATGTTGAATGCGGGGGTGGCGAAAATAGTGTGATCTGGTGATAACATGCTATTCATCGCATTGGGACAGTCCCACGGCGGTAGTTCTGGTTCTTTCATGGATCACTGGTGAACCCCTCGCCGAAGGGGAAATTTCGGCTTGCAGACATTGGGCGCATCGCGAGCAAGCACGTCAAAGTGCCCGTACCCGGGAAAAATTCGACTGCAAAGGACAAAGCGGTCACGAATCATAAGAAAACGAAAAGTGCGCCTGCCATAACCCCTATCACTCCCCCCGAAACTATGAACCATATAGTGGAGCCGGAAAATAAAGAACCAGAACAAGATAGCATATACAATAGTGTCGAAGACATGGAAACTCAGGAAGGTAAGAAAAGCTTCATTTTTATTAAACATTCTTTCAATAGTTTTGCTGAAATCAAGAATGAAGGTTTTGCGAAATTGACATTGTTTCATTTTGCATCAGCGGGCATGCTTGAATTGGTTAAGTGTTTCTTTTATCATGTGATATGTATGTAAATTGGTTGACAATATGCATATATTAATAGGTAAGAAACAACAGCATATTTGTGATCGAACGCGTGAAGATAATATGACAACAAATGTGTAAAAATATGAGTACCAACTTCAGATAGCAACCATTCCAGATCATTAAGTGAATAATTCAACATTGTAAATGCCTACAGACTTCTCACTTGTATGACTTTTGCTCTGTCTTTTTTGCAATATTTTAAGTAATGCAGTTCAAGGAGATTATGCTGCTATTTCAGTTGAGTGGGGTGCACCCATCCCTTCTACGCCATCTAGCTGATTTGGTATTTGATCTCTCCTACCATCCTCTTGGAGTTTACCTGGTACTCAGCGAAGCAAGACTGCCTCTGCACCTTTTACCTGGTAATCAGCCAGAATACCTCTGCACCTTTGAGATTAAATTTTAAGTTACAAGGGAGAGTTAATCTCTTTTTTAGTCTCAGCAGTCTTGAGTTGCCATGTCTAACATGAGCAGAATCTTCTGGAAATGAAATGTTAGGCAGACATGTAGCAAACCTGACAACATTTTTTTTTCAAGCTGAGAAGGTTTCAGGCAGTACTAATAGTTCAATGCTGTCTCAGCAAAATTACATACCTGCCTAATGGATTTTTTATCCAGCAGGACTTAATGTTCCTAAGCATTCCTGAATTTGATTTGAAGGGCATCATTGAATCAAAGTAAGGAGTTTTTAAGAAGTTTTCTGAAATGCTTTTATGGAGAAACATTATCTAGGCAGGCTTGAGATAGGTAGCTTTACTGCCTTGGAAACTAAATTTGTCCCTCTCTTGCCAGCAATAAAGTGGCTTGGCTCATTTATATCCATATGAAAGTAATTGTTCATTCTTCCAGAGTATCATGATGAGCTAGGCATCATCAAATTCTAACCCTGTGGCACAAACCATTTAATTGGTCAGTAGCCATATACCTACTTGGAGCACCACTTGACCATGCATATATATTATCCTACCTTGTACCTTGTACCTTGTAGAATACGAGCTGCTTGAGGTGTTCTACACCTGTTTTGCTCGCTCTATGTCTACCATAATTGTTGCTTCTTTAAATCATGCCCAATTACTTGCTCTGGAAATACTGAAAGAGGTTCATTTAGTAGTTAGACATCACAGCCATATGTTGTGCACTTGAAGCCACTTATTCATTCCCTGCTACAGGAAGGTCAATCAGAAAAAATCCCATATAGAAATATAATGTCATTCTCCTTTGTGTGTTCTGGAGGCTCTGGTGCAAAAAGTTGTTTGATAAGTCATCTGAGTTTGTACTGAAGCTAACCAGGCTAAACTAACTGCAATGTGCCAACATAAGGATAGTGCTCTCCAGTTTACACCAATTGTCATTTGTCACATGCCAATGCTTTAGAATAACATGATCTCTTGGGGTCCAACCCAATCTTTCAGCCATGTGACCCCAACCTTGGTCTTACTACCACTGCTTAACCCGCGCCCTGCTGGGGGGGGGGGTGTTTGAACACCCCCCTTGTGGTTTTTCGCGAATATCTCAAAAACGGCGGCGCGGAGCGCCGCCGTTTTTGTTACACCTTATCATACATCAATTCTACACGTGTTGTGAAAATTTCAGACCAAGGTCATTCAAGGTCAGGTCACCAGGTCACTTGAAGTGACCTCACCTCATAAAAAGTTTCAATGTCTGTCATAGCTACACCGAGTGACCGATCGCTTTGAAACTTTCAGCGATTGCTAAGGGCAATAGCATGTACAAAATGTATATCTCAGAATTTTGATATCGATGACCTAAGGTCAGGCCAATTTTGCGACCTCCCCATTATAAGTCAATGGGAGAAAATTGAAATGCGCCTCTATTGGACGAAAGACATTATAAACACTCCCAAACACTGAATTACAAGTGGTTTAGACACACTGAACATGAAAATGGTGTCCGTGACCCCTGTTTATGCCCTGAGGTCATCTTAGGTCACGAATGGTATCTAACAGTTTTTCGCAAATAACTTTTGATAGAGGCATGCTAGAGCGATGAAAACGCCTAAGATGTGTTCAGCTCGACGATACGGATCGACTGATATGCAACATGACCCTTTCCGGTCAGGTCATGACCTTGACCTGAGGTCAAATTTTCAAGTTGACCTTTCAAGGTAAGTTATAGTTCATTCGATGCGTCTTGACGAGAGGAACACGATGCCGGTAAAAGTAAGCTCGTACAAGGCTTGGGTCAAAAGTTATTGCAGAAAAACTGTTTCAAAAAAAAGTCGGCTATTTTTGCAGTTTTTGCCCCCTGCAGGCAAAATCGTTGACGTTAGGTCAAATCTGAGAGAATTACTCAGAAAGGGCGTTAATAGGGCTATCGAATGCGCTTTTCCGCGGCGCTATAGCTCTATTGGTTCCCGAGTTATGCGTCTGCTTCTTGGAAATTGTCCACATTCGACCTGGAAATCGGCGAAATTTTGCCTTCAATGACGTCTGGTGACCTGACCTTTGACCTGACCAAAAAATTGACCGAAGTGATTTCCTCATTATTTTTGACGCTCTTTCGAACGCCGCCTTCCGCGTATCGCTACGTGGCCCAGGAGCCGAGTTAGAAGGGGGGGGGGGGGGGGGCCCAGCAGGGCGTGGAAATCCAGGACCCCCAGCCGGGCGCTGGTTAACTTCTGGAAAAATTTGATCCTGTGGTGCTCGTGGCTATATTGATGTTTCAGTGCCTGGGTATTTTGACTGGGGTAGATTGCAGACATTTTTTATTTCATACAGCTGAAACTTTCAAAAATTCCTTTATGAATGATAGCTGCACTGCATTGAGCAATTCCAAAGTTTCGTCAATATTTACCGTTATTAAAAGTACCTAGAGTCGCCTTTGCCCGAGGACAAAAGATGCTTTTTCCAAACTCTTTGTCGATCCCTCTGATTCCGACTCCCTCGACAGTGGACTTTAGAGACAATGCGTGTATGTTGTGACTCTGACTCTTGCCTGTCTGTCTGACTTCCTCTCTCAGCAGTGGATTTGACAGACACTACACACATGATCTTACCCTGACTCCCTGTCTATTTGTCTGACTCCATCTCTCTCTCCGCCGGCAGCGGACTCGACACACGCTGACTCCGACTCCCTATTTGTCTGACTCAGTCTCTCTCTCCCCGGCAGCGGACTGGACGGACGTGGCATGCATGCTCTGACTCTGACTCCTTGTCTATCTGTCTGACTCAGTCTCTCTCCGCCATCAGCGGACTCTACAGACACAACATGTATGACCTGACCTCTGACTCTGACTCCCTCTTTGACTCCCTCCCTCTCTCTCCACCTGCAGCGGACTCTACAGACGCGGCGGCCGAGAAGCCGGCGGAGCGTCCGCCCGCCGAGCCGGAGCCGGACGGCGCGGCGCGGCCCGAGCTGAACGGCACCAGTGAGGTGTGCCTGGTATCCACCACACAGGATGCCGACATGGAGGAGGGTGAGAGTCGGGGGAGCGGGCGCCGCGCGCCGGAGGGAGGACCGGCGGAAGGTGCTGGGTGGTGGTGAGTGATTTGTGGTGATTTGGGTGAGAAGTGGCGATTTGTGACATGGGTCTCAGTCACTCTCGAGTTACCACATTTTACTTGCTACTTTTTTAATTACTTGTGGCACATTATAACTGTGGTTGTGGCTTAGCTATTGCTTGTGTATTGTGTGGTCAATAGTCACATTACGGTTTTATCGATGATACTGTGAGCTGTGTTGCTGCCAGTCAATCAATTGTTCTTTTATTGCGGGTCACGTTTTGATGTTACCGTCAGCTCGCTGCGGCTAGTGGGCCAATCTTCGGACCTGTATTACTACCAGTCTCGCCACTACGCTGTGTTACGGTTGGTTAGGCTACGGTTCAACCAGTAGGAACAACAGTGCCATGTTTGTTTTGCTGCCGATACGACAGCACAGGGGCTGCCTTTTCTTGCACGACGCGCGTGTGTAACAGTTCTGTGTATAGCGTGTGTGTATGAAAGGGTGTGAGAACCTCCACTCACAGCTGAGGTCTATCGATTATTGACTGACGCTGCCTGGCACGCCGGCCATCCGTCCTGTTTTTCCACTACCGAACCGGGGCGTCTGGTTATTTGGTTTTGTTACGTCGCTACGTTTCGCTATTCTGCGACTGTCGTTTTGAGTTCCACGGGCTAGTAGTAGACACTCTACGATAACTGGCATCGGTCTCATGTGGTTTGTGATGATCTATTTTTGAAGTACCGTCGTTTCTATTACTCGATGTGACCCAAAATCCCGTCCATACGACCTCTTACGAGTCCCGGTCAGGTACCTCGCTTACATATTATCATACACGTGTCGTTTCCTCAATTTCCGGTCACACATTATCTGTGTAGGTATAGAGCTGGCCTCGTTTCGGCCTGAGTGTAGTGGCCACCGGGATGGTATCGAGTGTTCGTCTATCTATCGCGCCCGCTCCAGTGACCTGGGTCTCACTGGCGCCTATCGGCTGGTCACTGGCTCGGGTCGCGACTCGCGGCTGTTGACGGCCGGTACGTAGAATCATGCATGCGGGATGTTCTTCGATTCGGACTCGCGGCCGGCTAGTGGTGCCCCAGGCCCCCATTGAAGGTCGCGGATGTTAGAGGCAGCTTGCTACCGACCCGTCAAAGACCAACCACAGAACATCCTACTGATCCTAAATATGATCGGACATGGAACTGTTATTCGCACATCGTAACCTGTGATCAGCGATTACCCACTGACCAGCTTAATCTAGTAAACGTCAACTGACCTTTCACTAACCATTCACTGACTTACCTTTGGCCCGTATTGACTCTCATACTGGTCTGACTCGCACATGGACTGGCACTGACTTGGTGCGACTGCGGTAGCACCACTACTGACCCACCACCGACCCTCCATTGACACCTCAATGATTCCCTCTGATTTTACCCGTCTATGTCGACTCTCCGCTTACCCTTCACTAACCCCTCTCCTCCCCCCCCCCGCCGGCAGACGAGGCGCGCTCGGAGGCCACCTTCTCCTTCTCGGTACCCAACTTCAGCAAGCTGAAGGAGTCGGTGTTCTCGCCGGCATGCTACGTCCGCAATCTGCCCTGGAAGATTATGGTGATGCCGCGGAATAACCCCGGCCAGGACAGGAAGCCGCAGCGCAGCCTCGGATTCTTCCTGCAGGTCGGTGGAGAGAGGGGAGAGAGAGACGGGAAGGGAGAAGGAGAGAGGGAGATGGGGGAGGGGAAACTATTCGAAGCTGAGATAGGGACAACATTTCGGGCTCACCTCATGTTTGGGGTCAGCTGTTATGTTAGCTGTCAATATTTCAGCCTTTTTGTGTGTAAAGCGTTAGTTTCTCAGTGCGGTGCCGGCCGCCAAGTGACTAGCCACGTGATTGTTTTGTGTTTTTCGTTGCTGTACCGAGTGTTTTGCTTTACGGAGTTGTTGTTTCAGTGTGTACCAGTTCAATAACTATGATAAACACTAGGCCATGTGACTGCTCTGTTTCCCAGTGCAATGCCGAGTCTTAAGTCACGTGATTATGTTACGTTTCCTAGTGCAATGCCGAGTCGGAGTCGGTCTTGTGACACGTGACCGCTCTGTGTTTCTCGGTTTAATGCGGTGTCGGGAGTCCCTCGTGGAGCCGTATGTCACGTGACCGTTCCGTGTTTCCCGGTGCAATGCCGAGTCGGAGTCACGTGACAGTTCTGTTTTCCCTGTGCAATGCCGAGTCAAAGTCGGCCCTGCAGAGCTTTGTATCACGTGATAATCCTGTGTTTCCCATTGCAATGCTGAGTGTTTGGTCACGTGATTATTCCTGTGTTTTTCCCAGTGCAATGCCGAGTCGGAGTCGGCCTCGTGGAGCTGCCACGCCAGTGCCGAGCTGCGACTGCTCTCAGTCAAAGAGGGAGTCGAGGACTTCAATAGGAGTGAGTTGCTGGGGGATGGTATTGGTGGTCACTGAGTACCACTGCGCCCTTAAAACTCATTACGATGAGGGGGGCAGGGATGGATGTGTCAGTTTTCAGGGAGGAGCACCGCAAAATGACTAAACAGCTGAAAATGACACCAATTAAATACCGTCTCATGGCATGATGGAATAGCGGCATGCTTGCCATTGAACTCGGCTAAGCTAAAACATACCGCGTTTGAAGTTAAATGGTTTTGTTTAGTTTCATGCGTACCACTTGCTCTTTTTTTGTGTCTGATTTCATTCAGACTAACAATATGCCTTGCAAACTTTCCCAAAAACAACTTGACTACTTTCTCAACTGAAGTTTCACAAGTGCCATCGCTTCCTGGGAAACCCTATTTGGCCTGGCCTTACCGCCTCCCCCTCCCCGAGCGTCACATTCACCTACTGAGTACTGACCGCCTCTCCTCCCTCTCCACAGAGATCACCCACCTGTTCTACAGCAAGGAGAACGACTGGGGCTTCAGCCACTTCATGACGTGGAACGAGGTGCTGGACGAGGAGCGTGGCTACATCAAAAACGACACCATCACCCTGCAGGTACGGTCTGAGAGCGTCGCCGGTGACTGGGGTGTCCTGTCTGATTGGGAGTCTCCTATCTCCCAGCGCTCTGTTCTCTCCCATCTCTTATCCTTTCTTGGAACTCCTTTTTTATAAATTTAGTCCGAACCTTTTGATGGGAAGGATTCACAAGGACAGAGCCACCGCTAAGGGAAGCTTGCTGCGGTGACCCTGTCCTCTACCCTCCGATCGCGCAATTCCAGTTCCATGGCAGAATTTAGAGCCCAAAGTTAAACGTGCGCACATAGCCGCGCACGTCGGCCGGTCCCCTCACTGACTTCGCCTGGCTGCGGCCTGCCACCAACCGCAACCATACCTGTCAGGAGGCCCACCAACCGCAACCATACCTGTCAGGAGGCCCATAAATGTCAAGCGCCCGTCGCGCTTCGAACCCGGACTGTTATAACCGGGAGCGCGTGCTCTCACCACGCGGAGTCCAACGCTCTACCAACTGAGCTACGGGACCGACTCCTGTCTCCCTTTTCAAAAATGTAGCGGTAACGTTCGTGGGAGTAGTTACTTCATTAAGCAGTAAAGTTACGGCTACATTTGTACATATTTTTCGTTCGACCACATTAGGACGTGATGATTAGCTGCATCCTGCCCTTATTAAAAACCAGCCCCGCCCCATCCCCTAGACCTGACGCGAAAGGACTGCTAGCTGATGGTACTCCAGCATTCAAGCGTATCCAAGTGCAGTCGTTCCACCCACCGTTTGACTCGCAGCCTACTTAGCTACCCACCACCACCTAACGCCCCTCTCTATGTGCCCTCTCCGCGTACCACAGGTGAAGGTGAACGCGGACGCGCCGCACGGTGTCAGCTGGGACTCGAAGAAGCACACGGGCTACGTGGGCCTGAAGAACCAGGGCGCCACGTGCTATATGAACTCCCTGCTGCAGACGCTCTTCTTCACAAACACCATCAGAAAGGTGAGGGCTGGTCAAATCGACGGACAGGTGATCGTGAGTGGTCGGTTTTAGTTCGTGTTAGGCGCAAATACCGATATTGGGGACGTCTTATGTTGGCGGAGCGAAGGTTTTAACTTCTAGCTTTCAATCTCAAATATTGATCTACAGTAAGGTTTATGTCTTTTTGAACGAGTATATCAAGTGCAAATACATGATTTATGCCGTTGGTTCATTCAACGCCACTAATTCCCCCAATATACATAATTTCCATCACACGATCTTTAGTCCAACGGTTCTCACCCACGCCCGGCTCCCCCCCCCCCCCCGCTGTGTGCAAAATGTCATGGTGTGATCCGCGTCTATCGTTTTGATACACGGTTTATCCCGCAGGCTGTGTACAAAATGCCCACCGAGAACGACGACTCGTCCAAGTCGGTGGCGCTGGCGCTGCAGCGGGTCTTCTACGAGCTCCAGTTCTCCGACAAACCCGTGGGCACCAAGAAACTCACAAAGTCGTTCGGCTGGGAAACCATGGACTCGTTCATGCAGCATGATGTCCAGGAGTTTCTGCGTGTGGTATGTATACTTGTTGGGGGTTCAGGGAGGGAAATGCGGCCCATTGGTCATTGGTGTTTCATTACGGAGCGAGCGAAGCGAGCGGAGTCTCATACTGAATTAAGGGAAAATCCTGAGTATGAGCGGCCGGCCGGCCGGCCGTGGGGACGCTCTTCAAAAGCTAATATCTTAGGAACGGGACATCCGATTGATAAGCGGTCTTCTTTACTGAATGTCACTTGGACGTAAAAGTTCTGTGGTGTGATGGCCACCATGCGTTCTTGCCAACCACTGAACGTGGCGCGTGGTAAAGTTGGACATTTTTTAAGAACCCCCAAAATTGCAACCTCAATAACGGCACAACGGGTGGGCCGATTGAATTGAAACTCGGTACACAGTTAGGTCTCCATCAGATAATTAATCTGCATGTGTTAAGGTTGGGGTGCTACAGCACGTGCGCACGTGCAGGGGGCGCTCCCAGATCTCGAGAACGGCTGGGCCGATTGCGCTCAAATTTGGTACACGGTTGGGGACCAGTTAGTAGGGTGCCGTGCAAAAGTCAGTTTGGACCCCGCTTGCACGTGCGCACGTGCAGTGTGCCGCTTCCAGATCTCGAGAACGGCTAGGCCGATTGCGCTGAAATTTGGCACATCGCTAAAGACCGGTTAGTAGAGTGCAGTGCACAAGTTAGTTGGAGGTACCCCTCGCAATTTCGCACGTGCGAGGCCCATCCTCTCGCGCGCTCCGTTGGTCGCCCAAAAGGCGTTTTACTGGTATGTATTGTGTAGGACTGGACGGTCGGAGTTCAGTAGCTGGTACTATATAAGAGACCAGCAATGAGAAGCTATAAGCTTCCTTTGTGTAAAATTTAGCAGACTTTGGGACTGGTTGGTCAAGAGGCAACCCATATGCTTAAAATCTAAGGGGGCTGGTTGGCTAGCTTATGAGGGGCAAGATACAGGTACAGTCCACAGCAGAAGTAATGTGTGGTTTCAGTCATGGGTATGTTCTGCTTCTGAAGCCTAGGAACGATTAGCCAGACTGCAACGAGACTTTAAATGTAGCTTACATGTATCTTCACCCTTGCAGCTACAACTTTATCTATTGACGTCTTCTTTTCAATCAGTCCGCATTTAAAAATCATCGGTCAAAGCCATCTGTTGAGATTGGTAAAACCACACATTACTTTAGCGGTGGGCTGTACCTTGAAGTATGCTCTGACAGGGGACTGGCTTCGAAAGTAGACTGGGATAGAGGACGGCTGGCCTGAATGACGTGCTTCTGGTCCGTGTGCTCATCGATGACACGTCCAATTCGGCTGAACGGTGGCGGTAGTACTCGTGTGAGAAGAGCAGGCAACTGTCCCTTACTTCTCATGTGCCTCCCGTCGACATTGCATGAACTCTGCTGACGTCTCCAATATAACGCTCGCAGCTGCCGTAACCCGAACGATGCTCACCCCGAATTGACCTTACTGACCTGACCCGTCCTGCTCTGACAGCTTCTGGACAAACTGGAGAGCAAGATGAAGGGCACCTGCGTGGAGGGCGTCATCCCCAAACTGTTCGAGGGCAAGACAATATCGTACTGTCGGTGTAAGCACGTGGACTATCAGTCCAGCCTCACCGAGACCTACTACGACATACAGCTCAACATCAAAGACAAAAAGAACAGTGAGTTATTCAGCTCTGAGATGGGGCTCTGCTATTTTTGAATGGCATGAGTTACCCAGTGAGTGCTGTGCGACGGGCTTGGGCTGCACTATAGCTGAATAATCTGAGCTATACAATGATGGATGGGTGACAGTGGTGGGACGAGGGTTGCGATATCAACCCGAGCTATGCAGTGCAGTATAGCGGTGGAATGAGGGCTATGCCAGTCGGGTCACCATGGTTATCATGTTGAGCGGTGTTTGGAAAGGGTTGATAAATTAAAGCAGATGCTTAGCTTAGCTGTATGATTTAGGTATACCTTAAAATCGGCAGGCATGTGCATGGATCCAAGAGACGGATGGATGATCTCAGTGGATCTCGCGACAATATGAAGAGATCGAATCTATGATCTGAGCGGATCCCAGATCGAGATCCATGGGATCAGATGTCGGATCCATTTTTCCCGGATCTGTGCACATGTCTGCTTATCGGTCCTCTAGCAGATTGACTGTGAGTCTGGTCAATGTCTATGAGTGGTACCTGACTCAGCAGTGGTAAGTGGTAACTGTATCTGACCGTCCCCCCCCCCCTCAGTCTACGAGTCGTTCAAGGACTACGTGGAACCACAGACGCTGGACGGCGAGAACAAGTACGCGGCGGGCGAGCACGGTCTCCAGGAGGCCGTGAAGGGCGTCATATTCGAGACGCTGCCGCCCGTTCTGCATCTGCACCTGATGAGGTTTCAGTACGACCCCATCACAGACAGCAGCGTCAAGTTCAACGACAGGTCAGTGTTAGCCCGAGAGAACCGCTTTACTTGGAACACATAGACCAGCGACATTAATTGGTGTTAAAAATGTTTTACGGCTGATAAGTGATAGTTCATTCAGATTTCGTTTGTAAAAATCCGTCCCACTAGAGAATCCGCTCTGATTGCAAGAGGATCGATCCCTTAGCGACCTTGTTTTTATTGCTCGACATTGTCCATGTAATCACTAGGTAGCGAAAAAAGAAAACTGAGTCCCGGTGCGCTCCAGCTGTTCAAACCGTTTGTAATCCCGCTCGCCCGTCTCTTCCGTGTCGCTAGCTAGTAGTATCGATTTTCCAGAGCTTCCGAGCAATTGTTAATGAACCGTGCCGAGCCTCACTGATTGCTGATAAATACTGAAAATGGCGGCAGAGTGGGGACTAGTGGTCGATGGCTGGACCGATGGGGAATAGAAGTTTGGTTATTTATCGCAGTTATTGTTCCGATATAATTTTTTGTGTTTAGTAGATAAGTGAATTGTTCGATTAGGTAGCTTCCAGGTAGCAAAAAGTAAGCCTGTTGGCTGCGCGATTCTGTGTGTTCTTGATTCTTTTGATGGAAATGTTTGTCATTTTGACAGGCTGTCCAGCTGATGATTCCCTTCTGTGCGATTGTGTAACTAGATATCGAGTGGTCAGGCTTCAGGGATGGGCAAAGTCAGCTGTGAATGAGGTATGAACAACGTGCACGCTCGCACAATGTTCTACTCAGGCTTTAGGCCGGAGCCCAGTACCTCTTGGCCGTCCCTCGTGTAGCAAACCCTCACCCCACCCTCACACACTCACTCACCCCCTTTTTCTCTCTCCCTCTGTGACAGGTTCGAGTTCCCGGACGTGCTGCGTCTGAACGATTTTCTGCAGACGCCGGAGAGCACGCCGGCCGAGTACGTGCTGCACGCGGTGCTCGTCCACTCGGGAGACAACCACGGCGGCCACTATGTGGTCTTCATTAACCCCAGAGGCGACGGAAAGGTATGGACGGGTGGGATGGACGAGTTTAGCGGGTATGGGGAAGGGAGCGAGGGAGTTGTGTAGTGTATTGGGGAATTTTAGCAGTTTCCTTGTGTCGCCAGGTTTGTTACGTGTGTGAATTGTCTCATGAAAGCGACACTAGTGGAGAAGACTAGTTAATGATAAATGTGTGGCTGTTTCCGGGAGATCTTGCTTCTTTTGGTGATAAGCTATGCTAACCATAGGGAAGTTACAGTTTCTATAGAATTATAGCTTTTAAGAACCTGTTATTACATTATGCAAAAGTCTGTAGAGCTAGGTGAGGATTTAAGTAACCATTAGAGTTGGAGCCTGTAGCTAATTTTCTGGTGTCTATCTCAAACTGACCCCCTCCCCCCTGTTCTCTCCCCTCTCCACCAGTGGTGTAAGTTCGACGACGACGTGGTGTCGCGGTGCACGCGCCAGGAGGCGATCGACCACAACTTTGGCGGTCAGGACGAGGAGCTGAACCTGACGGTGCGCCACAGCACCAACGCCTACATGCTGGTCTACATCCGCCGCTCGCACCTGGCGGAGGTACTGCAGGAGGTCACCGAACAGGACATCCCGCTGGAGGTGAGGCCGGGTCGGTGGCGTGGGTGGAAGGGAAGAGGTACTGGGAAATGAAGACATACTACGTGAACCATGCTACACTGGGAAGAGTATATATGAGTAGATTCTGAGACCGTGGGTGCAAAATGACCCTGTAGTCCGCGCCCTAAAGCCCCAATAAACAAACAAAGATTCTGGGACCGGATGTTTTTAGGTCAAATATGACTAGGAATAGAGCTGGTGCAAGGACCGGAGATGTGTAAATTAAAAAGTACTGGGAATAGATTTGCGAGGATCAGATTGATTTAGGCCAAAAGTTTAACCGACTATAGAATATCGGTATCATATCGACGACTGTAAAAGAACGATGAGGGCGGCCACCCTGACCACTCTTGCTATAGACGCCATTGGCTTCTCAGTCAACGCATATGCAAACCCCAATTATGAGTACCCAGTCCTCGATAAAGGAGTGTTGACCGCACTAGGTTCGGGTAGCCTCGTTACGTCCGTCTGCTCTGACGCCCGTTCCGTGTTTCCCAGCTGACTGAGCGACTGCAGGAGGAGAAGCGTCTGGAGGCGATCCGGCGGCGGGAGAGGAACGAACAGCACCTCTATATGCCAGTACAGGTCGGTGACGTGTGTCACCGCGTGTCCTAGGCCGGACACGCGGAGGCCGGCCCTCCGTCATCAGCTGTTTGGGCTCTGTTTTAACCTCAAATACACCGGGATCGGCTCGTTTTTACTTCTGTTGGTTGCCGCTCTGCCCTTTCCGCTTCGGCCACGGAACCCCTCTGCCTTATATCCTGGGTTCTGCGCCAATTCTCAGGCCCACCGTGGCCTCATTCCTTATTTTCTTTGTCTCACTTCGGCCCTCAGACTCGTCGGGGCCCGTCTTTCATAACTGCAGGGTCGTGTGCTGTGACCTAACGCGGACATCTAATGTGTGAGCATGGCCTGATGTGACCCGATGTGATGCTCACTTACGCTCCCACATTTCTGTAGGTGGTTCTGGAGGACAGTTTCGAGGGTCACCACGGACCGGACCTGTACGACCCCGAGAAGGTCAACTACCGGACGTTCAGAGTGAAAAAGTCGGCCACGCTCCGAGAAATGATGGACCTCTTCTCAGAGACACTGGTGAGATTTTATTGCTGTCGGGGGTTTGAGTTAGGGCGGAGGTGTGTTCCAAGTTGTTAGGTGAGGCGAGTGTGGGGTCACGGTCTAGGATTGCAGTTTGATCAGGCATCATGTTAAAAGGTTATGTTTAATTCGTGGCTTAGGTTAAGGGTGAGCTAACACAGAGTTAAGGCTCTTGTTGAAAGTTCAGGGTGTTGAGCCCGGTCACTCACTGTGTGGAAAACAGTGTCAGATATTCCTGAAAGTAGTGCTGTAGTAGTTTACAGCGTAAATTCACGACATGGATTCTAACTGCACAGCGTTATTTCACAGCGTTGGCTCACGATGTTCGCCATGGTTTCCGTTTGTGAGCGGACGGACGTATCCCGGTCTCCGTTTGTAAGCTGACTGTTCGCCTCCCGGCCTGTTTACAGAAAGTACCTGTGAAACACCTTCGGCCGTGGCCGATGACGATCCGCACCAACCAGACTAACCGACCCACGGTGATCGACATGGACGGAGACATCCTGAAAAAGGTGAGAGAGAAAAAAACATCGATAATAGAGAAACTGCGAAATATGCTGAGAAACGGTGGGTAAGGTCTCAGCAGTCGACATTGTACACTCTCATGCTAAAAAAGATGGATACTTCATCAATCGTCGGCATGCATCCTGCTACAGAAGGTTGGGAACTGGCTGTGACTCTGACCTCTGTGACCTTTCTGACCTCTGTGACCTTCCCTCAGGTGTCAGACCTGGCCGACTCGAACTCTGCGTGGACGCTGTTCCTGGAGTGTCTGCCGGCCGACCAGCCGCCCACCGCCTCGCTGCCGCCGTTCGACAAAGACTGTGATGTGCTCATCTTCTTCAAACTCTACTGTCCGCGCACCAAGCAGATTCACTACTGCGGCCACCAGTACATACCCATCTCCAGCAAAGTCCGTGAGTGACAACTAACCAACCTGTCGCCCTTCGGTGGGCGCTGACTAGGTGTCTTGCGCAGTAGCCAGAACCATCGCGGATATATTACTTTGAAGTGTTTACTAAAAGTTAGCTACAGGGTAGCTACCCATTTAATGTTTTGGTTATATGTGTATCACTTTCTTTGTATTGTATTAATGTGTCATGTGCCGTTTATGTTGTGTATGTGCGTTTGTGGATTTTTTTTTTTGCGCCTGCCGCAAGAGGAAGTCCTAGAAGTTTTAGATACCGTAGTGGTCTTTATCTCCGATAGAGAAAGCAATATTAGAATAACTCGCCCCTCATCTACCCCGCCTGCCGAGTTAGGCTCGCCCAGCAACAAGCTTGCTTAGCTGGGTGGCCTATTTCGGTGGGCATTTGACCATGCTGAAACCTGACCAGGAACCGACACCGACCTTTTGATCTGCATGCTACTGGCTTATACCCATGTCCTTGTGTGATTGTTCCAACTCCCTGTGCGAATGTGTAACTAACCAAGGTATGAATGTAAAGGTACTGAATAAAAAAAAAACGTAGTGTCTAGTCAAAGCTATTTTTAGCTTTGATTTCTTTCCGCCCCTTGCATGCATGACTCATAACACTACTTGCATCTGTATTTGGCTGCACAGGTTTTTTTCGCTTCTTTTTTTGTTATTTTCCTTTTCTTAGCAGGGAGTGTCACGACTTGCATATTTTTGTTTTTGGTGTTAACGTATGGTTCTGTGGTCGTGCGGGACCGTGGGTGGACACTCCTGGTCGTCTGTTCATGGGCGGCGGACTATTTCATAGATTAGTTTAAAAAAAAAATGCGTTTACTGATAGTCATACTGAGAGATATGCAACGATGCCAATTGATTTGACATTGTGATGTGTAGTTTGCAGGCACGCAAATATGCGCGATAATTGGCTAGTATTTGTTTGTTCATGAGGTAAGTAGTTTGATAGTCATTAGTCACGATATAGGTTTCGTGATCATTCTCCCTCTTCTAACCGATCTCCTTCGTCGCCAGGCGAGCTGGTTCCCCTCCTCAACGAGCGGGCCGGCTTCCCTCCGGACACCGAGCTGCACCTGTACGAGGAGCTAAAACCGAACATGGTGGAGCGTCTGGAGGAGCTGGAGACGTCGCTGGACAAGGCGCTGGACGAGCTGATGGACGGAGACATCATCCTCTTCCAGAAGGCCGAGCATGAGCCGTGCGACGGCGACCTGCCGACTGTCGAGGATTACTACAAGTGAGTTTTAAGGAAGGGGTAAAAAAGTGTGGTAAAAAAGAACCGATCAGGCAGAATACGTGTCGCGGCTCTATTCTTACCATGGACATCTCGGTATGCAGTTGTGGTCTGGCTTGTCAAACTCATTGAAATGTTTAAACTACAAGTTTTTTCCCTGTGGAGGCAATGCTCAAACCAAACCACACAACTCCCGTCCCTCATGTGTGCGGAACAAATCTTCTACCTTGTAGAGATGACATTCTTTCTAACGCTGTCCCATTCACAGAGATCTCTTCTACCGGGTGGAGGTGACGTTCTGCGATAAGACGGTGCCGTCGGACCCGGGTATTGTGATCGAGCTCTCCCAGCGGATGAACTACGATCAGATGGCGCGCGCCGTGGCGCTCCGGCTCGGCACCGACCCCTACATGCTGCAGTTCTTCAAGGCGCAAAAGTGAGCAAGATCAGGCCGGGACCGCCGTGATGTGGCACTAGTGGCAAATAGGACGAGTAGAATACGCTGATGGGAACTTGATGGTAATTTGTATGTGTATATCGTGTCCTGTTTGGAGCTGGTTGGCAATGAACTGTTAGGGAAACGTGCCCATTTATGACTTCAGCTTATGCACTTCTTCGGCATATCACTAACCCTATCGTTTCTTGCCGCCGTATGTATTACATGACGTATCATCGGCCGTTTTCGGCTCTGCGCCGGTATCTTGGCGGGTGCCGTCTCATTTCTTACTCTATCTGACCCCGCTGTCACCTGCTCCAGCTACCGGGAGGGTCCCGGTAACGCACTGCGCTGCACCTACGAGGGTACGCTCAAGGATCTCCTGGTCGGCTACAAACCCAGGCAGCCCAAGCGCATCTACTACCAGCAGCTCTCGATCCGCATCAACGAGCTGGAAAACAAACGGCAGGTCAAGGTGAGTTGGAGTTCAGCGAGAGGCTGGCTAAAGGACAAAGAGACGGACTAAATTCATCATTCAATGATAAACAGTTTCAAGTTTAGGCCTACGACGTTGGGGTTGGGAGCTAAGTGGACTGGGTTATTAGTTTGCCCGTCGTAACGTTCGTCCATCTAACCGTCGCACCATTTTCCCTCGCAGTGTATCTGGGTCGGTCCTCGCCTCAAGGAGGAGAAGGAGCTCGTGCTGTACCCGAACAAGGACGGCACGGTGGCAGACCTTCTCGAGGAGGCGGCCAAACAGGTGCAGCTCGCTGACGGCGGCTCGGGCCAGCTGCGACTCCTGGAGATCGTCGGACACAAGATAGTCAGTGTGGTGAAGGAGTTTACACACCTGGATACCCTGCCGGTCGGCTCGGCCAAGGTGGGTGCAAGGGTGGAAGTTTGGGGGACTGGTGTTGAAAGTTGGGGGAAGGGGGTATATGCAGCTGTGAGGGAACGTGAAATACGTACGAAATAAAGTCTGTTCCATACCGAGCTGAGTTTGATTTTTTTTTTCGGCAATTATCTGCTTCGTTCAATTCGTCTAATATACTAATATCTCAGCAACCGGACAAGCGATCGGGATGGAACCAAAAAATACGTGACGAGAGTTTAACAGGCTGACGTAATACCCCGTCGCGACGCGAAGCGAGCGGCAAAAGTCGCTTGTATAATAGCTATGTGTATAGAAATCACGCCCTGCTTTGAGCGGGGCACTTTGGCCGCCCGAGCTTGATATGGAACAGACAATAGTAGAGTTTTTAAGTCATGTGCAGCAGGGGGGGGGGGCAGTGAAGGGCGTGGTGCGTTTTGGGACTATAGGCTGACCGCTTAGGCTGACCGCTTTTACTGCATTTTTTTACTTCCACGGACCCTTCCCTAATGTATGGCTGGCCTCTTGGCACTACAGTACCCCCCAGGCAATTCATCGTTGACTGTCTCCCTACATATATTCTTCCTCTCTTGGTGACATCCCCTATGAATTTCTCTTCCAACTATGTAGTTATCTCCTCGCTGTAACCATCTCTTCCGTCTCCGTGTCAGGTGTACCGGGTGGAGGAGACGCCGCGTGACGAACTCAAACTAGAGGAGGACGAGCTGCTCGTGCCGTGCGCCCACTTCCAGAAGGAGATCTTCTCCACGTTCGGTGTGCCCTTCCTGCTCCGAGTCAAAGACGTAAGTGGTCTGCTTTGGTAGTGTGAGCACTTAGAGACGAAGTGATCCGACGGATTATCCTTGCGGTTTGCATGCTGCGGTCTGCCAGTTACCTGACCTGACCTGACCCGTCCGCAGGGAGAGCTGTTTTCGGCAGTCAAAGAGCGGATACAGAAGAAACTCGAGGTTCCAGACAAAGAGTTTGAAAAGTATCGGTTCGCACTAGTGTCTCAGGCGACGCACAAGTTTGTGCCAGAGGAGGCCGACTGGCACCTCAGTCTACAGGATATTCGGCCCAAGATTGGCTCAGGTGAGAACCGGTTTCCGACACTCACATGCTTATTGTCATACCACAGATTTACTGCAGGGTTATCCGCCCGACATGGGTGCATCACTCTAAAGTGGCCGCTGGGCAACAGCAATTGGGCAGCCGTTGCTATTCACGTGAGAAAGAAACGTTGCCAAGTTTGTTGGTTGCTGACTTTCAGTTCTTAGTCGTATGCCATGCTCCTCGTACTTTGCACGTCTTATAATTCGTATTTGACGCACCTTACATGAATACGTTCCAGTTTAACCCGCGACCTGGTGGGGGGGGCTATTTTTTGCCCCCCCCCCCCCTCCAGACTTTTCGATATATCTCCAGAACCGCTGCGCCGATCGTCACCAAACTTTCAGTACCCTCCCGGACATCAATTTTACACATGGTGACCAAAAATTTTTCCAAAAGCTATGATAGGTTGGCCGGAAATGACGTCAGAGTGACGTCATGTTCTGCCGTTTTCGACCCAAAAAAGGGTTTCGCGGGAAGAGCTGTCAGGCCTATAGCTTTGCAAACACAGAAAAATGTTTAGGACATAAAAGCTGTAGAATTGACAGGGCTACAAAACTGCTATCTCGGATTTTTGAATTTTTTTGATTTTGACCCCCAAAAATCAAAAAATATATTTTTGGGATATAATAGTCGAAAAATCCAAAAAGTTTTTTGAATTTCGCAAAAACCGGAATATATGTGATAGTCCTTACCGCCTTCCATCCACATACCAAATTTTAGATTGATACCTCTTTTTTTGGCGAAGTTATAGCGAAAAAAACTGTTCAAAATTGATGACGTCAAATTTTCAAACTCAATTTTCAGCAATTCTAGACCTCGTAGCGCAAAACAAAGACCACCATTAGACTCCCCGTGACGAGCTGCATCGAATCGATACCCTTTTTATGCAAAAATATCAACTTTGAAATTTGACCTTTTTTGACCTGACCTTGACCTGACCTCCACCAGAAAGTGACCTAAACCGTACCTGATGGTCTTATAACCAACACCATTGGGTTGGAAATGAAAAACTGGCCATAAAACATGCATCGCACAACCTTAGTAAAGTTGGGTTCATGTGGTGACCCTTGGTGACCTTTGGTGACCTGACCTGTGACCTGACCTGGTATGACCAGTGACCTCTAATAGCAACATATGTACTAGACAACTGACGTCTTATCGCTGATTTTCGACAAAATGCGTTTTACTCGGTGTTAAAGCGCTTTCCCTAGAAGCCCCGTGAACGGTGAAACATTTTATCTTTGACCTGACCTGTGACGTCATCGGTGACCCCGAGGTCAATAAAATTTGGTTTCCTTCGACAAATTTGACAGGGCTATCGAACGCCGTTTGAATTTTGCGGATCCGTCCAGTAGTTTCGGAGATACGAGGGGGGGGGGCAAAAAATAGCCCCCCCCCCACCAGGTCGCGTTATAAACAGACCCCACCAGGGCGCGGGTTAATAAACCCTCAGCCGGTACTTTATAACAGGAACGGCTATGGCTGTTTGAAAAGCTGAACCGTAAGCACACATTTGACCTTGATGTCTGAGCCACCAACGCGTTCGGTTAGCTGCCTTCTGACGCCAGGCCGGGCACAAGTCAGCGAACGGCTGTGGATTTAACAGGGCTTGGGACTGATTAAGTGAGATAGCAGGTTCTTAGCTAATGTGGTGCGTTAATCATGACAGATACTGACTGAATGAACACAGCTGAAAGTGGATGTGGTATTTCGTGGCATTACATTTTAATACGTGACTGGTTTAGTTCGTTTACGATTTGTTCGTAAACGACTGGTTAAGTTCGTTTGGTTTATGGCTCAACAGCTGAGCCTGAAACCAAAAGCGAGCTGCGGATGAAGCGTAGCTGACTGGCAGTCGACACTGTCTTCCTGGCTATTTGGGAAATGCTGTCGGTGGGATACACGTTTTGTTAAGGAGTTTGGGTGAAGGGGATGGACCTGGGTGAAGGTTTCTGGGTAGCCGGAGCCACCCATGAGGAATGGTGAGAGCCGGCTGGTACCGGTCACTCCGTACACTGTTGGCAGGATGGATGATCGGAAAGCTGACCGTTATCAGGAAATATAAGAATATTGTGTGAGTGCTTGCTTTGGGTTCACGCTCTGACTTTGCTTCTCCAATTACAGGTCTTTCTTATACAGAAACAAATGACTATCAGGCACATGTTAGGCGCCTGCTACATATTGCTAATCGATCGTGCTTGCTGCGTCTTACCAAGACGTCGTTTTGACTGTTCTCCCCGCCATTTTCAGGCTCCTCGACTCTCTCCTGGCTGGGTCTGGAGCACATGAACAAGACGCCAAAGCGCTCCCGATACAACTACCTGGAGAAGGCCATCAAGATCTACAATTGAGCTTGAGAAGGCGGCGGAGCCGACAAACGCTAGTTGGGCGGGCCGCCAATAGGTGGCGCCACCGTGTACAGTGTTGATTGGCGGCCGGGCTCGGGCCCGTCGCCCCTGTCGAGCTGTGATTACCCCCTAGCTAGGGACGCGCGCGTGCGTCCGCAACAGCAGCGGGCCAGAGCGCTACTGAGCTGCTGAGAGAGAGAAAGAGCGAGTCGAGAGAGTCGAGAGAAAGAGCGCGCGAGCGAGCGATCTGAGCTGCCAAGCGGCCCGTGGCGCGCGCGGGCCGCGCACGGCCGAGTCTCACGGGCAGGGGGCGCCGCGCGGGCCGGCGCGTCAGCCGGCGCCGGCCGAGACCGTTTGTTTTTACCTCCTATTGCCCGCGGACTCTCCGCGCACTACCTGATCGTGATCGTGTCTGCCGATAATGATTTCTCTTTGACCGCCGGCCGAGCGCCGACAGCGCCGCCACACGGCCGCCAGACGAAACGACAGTTGCTCGCAGTGCCACAGTGTGGCGCTGACCGAGTCCCTTGCGATTTGAGTTCATTCCAACAAATTCTGAGGCAGCCGAGGTTGAAAAGTAAAACACCAAGTGCTATGTTTTAATAATAAATTATGACAAATGAATGGTATTTTGTGTTTATCGTCGTGGCCTGGTGATGCAGGGGGTGCTGAATACCTTAGCAGTTAGCAGTCTCAGGGCCTGAAAACTATGATCTTCTTTTTCGGAGTCGTACTCACTTATGCTAGTGAGTTTACTGTTTCATTTTACCGCAATATCAGAACTCAGAAAGTGGCTTATACTACCACGAGTAGTTACTGCTAGATATTCAGATTGAATTAACCAATCCGTGAACCCAAAAATCCGCTCCAATCATAGTTACGGCACTCGGCCGCCAGGGGCGCTGTCACGCGAACGGCCTTGACCGCTCGCACGTGTCAGCGGCAGTTCGGTCCCGTTATTGATAGCTTGGGAGCGCCTGTCGCCTGGAGCTCTGAAGTCTGAACGTTGATTTAGGCGATCGTGTTGCTCCGTGTCGGTAACGTGTTGGGTGTATTATCACGCGCACTTATTGAAGGGGGTGGGGGTCGGATAAATAGGTATCCGTAAAAGAGGCGGATATCTATGGAAAGTCAGTACCCCATAATTTTTACAATTTTCATGGCGTTGCATGCCCTGAGCCCAACGACATTTGAACCGCGACATCTTCCTAAAGGTCATTGCTGGCCAGAATACCAGACACTTCTGCGGTAACAATTGAATGCCTTGACCGATTATATGAGTAGATATGACCAGCCCACGATTTTAAGTATTCACTGCTGAAAATGTAATTTTGGGTACTTGACCTAGCTCTGACCTGTTCCTGGGCACATTTGATCCAAGAATCGAAAGTAGGTATCTCGTGGCGAGCTTCGTATTGCGACGTAGCTCCCGGCTCTGTGACCGTTGGCTTAAAGGTAGTGTGCCAGCTTTCTTGGACCATATGGAGTTAATGACCCGGATAAGGAGAACCGGATTTTTAGAACTTATCCATACCTTCAAAACTTATGGAAACGTCTTAAATTCTTCAAATTTTGAGTACCCCAGTGCGAAATTCGCCCCGACGGGTTGTCGGTCGTACCCCAACCACATTTCACACCACTATGAACAATAAATGCACACACTAAAATCGCTATTACCGATAGGCTCATCCAATCAAGTTTCGATAAACCCGTTCATCATCATCTCCTGCGGTTTCGAACACGCCTGTTAGGTGGCTTCTGATGCTCGTCGAGGTCGGAATTTCCAAATACGCGTGGTGCGTCGGGCCGCGCGCTCTGACTTCGGCCAAGAAAAAATGCGTCAGCTGATCATTGTCATTTCTGCCACTTGCGTGTGGTGTAATGGGGTCATAACTTAAGAGACGGCTGTTTCATATCAATTATTTTACATAAAATCATATTTCAAACCACAAATTAATGTTCGACAGCCAAATTTAAGAAACAATACCAATACAGGCTTACAGTTTAAGGCTCGACATTGTGTTGTCTCCGATTAGACAGCTGATAACTCATTCCCGTACGTCGTATGGTCGTAACACTATAATGACCTTTGCTTATTGTCACAAGTGCGCCGCATTCGCGATTGTTGCCCGACGCCTGTTTGCAGGTGAGCCCACTACAGTTGTTATACATATCTAAAAACCGATAAACTTTTAGGCGAAAAAGGCACTATTCCAGGCCCATTTTTGATTTTTTTTTGCGATATTAGGTAAAAACAGAAGCTTCTTATCCTAGGAAAAATAAAACGGGAAATCTTTCAAAGGTGGCACACTACCTTTAAAAGTTACCAGCTGAGGACTTTTATGCTCCCCCCCCCCTCCCCCAAGCTGGGTGGCTGGCGAGGGACTTCAGCGGGTCCCGTAGCTCAGTTGGTAGAGCGTTGGACTCCGCGTGGTGAGAGCACGCGTTCCCGGTTAAAACAGTCCGGGTTCAAAGCGCGACAGGCGCTTGACGTTATGGCCCTCCTGACAGGTATGGCTGCAGTTGGTGGCAGGCCGTAGCCAGGCGAAGTCAGCGAGGGGACCGGCCGTGCGCGGCTATGTGCGCACGTTAAACTTTGGACTCTAAATTCTGCCATAGAACCGGAATTGCGCGATCGGAGGGTAGAAGGCAGGTTCAACGCAACAAGCTTCGCTTAGTGGGTGCTCTGTCTTTGTGAATCCTTCCTTTCAAAATGTTCGGGCTTCGGACTAAAGCTATTAAAAAGAAAAAATGCAGGGTTATCTCTCAGTAACATCCTGGGGCCAGTGAAGGGTAAGTTAATGGACACCAGTATAATTAATGACTTTTGGCCGGCAGCGTCATTCAGTGTGAGAACGGACGGTATTTAGCCGGCTTATCAGGTCTTCTGACGGTCAGAGAGAAATCAGAGAGTGGAAGAACGGCCAGAAAGGCGAGTAGTGGGCAACGACTCAAAACTGTAGTGAGGCCGGTTCTCTGCTCGGTACGGTGATCCCACTCCATTCTTCATGAGTGTCAGTGGACCAAGGTCTATTCAAACAGCAGCCGGGTACATTTTTACCTCTCCTCTGCTGTCTGATGCCTGTTTCTCTCCGCACTGCGATGAATCGGGCGGAATGTACTAGTGCTATGCTCTATAACATTTAGCTGCGCGTGACTCGGGAGACAGGCTGAAAAAAAATCTTGAAAAGCATCGAATGATGTTGGGGAAACTTTGAGGTTTGTCGCTAGCTAGTAGTATCGATTTTCCAGAGCTTCCGAGCAATTGTTAATGAACCGTGCCGAGGCTCACTGATTGCTGATAAATACTGAAAATGGCGGCAGGGCGCGGACTAGTGGTCGATGGTTGCACCGATGGGGAATGGAAGTTTGGTTATTTATCGCGGTTATTGTTCCGATATTTTTTTTTGTGTTTAGTAGATGAGTGGATTGTTCGATTAGGTAGCTTCCAGGCAGCAAAAAGTAAGCCTGTTGGCTGCGCGATTCTGTGTGTTCTTGATTCTTTTGATATCGAAGCTGGACTACGCGTGTTTTGTTTATGATTCTGCAAGTGAGTCCAGCAAGAAGTCCCTGGACGCAGTACATCACGCTGCGCTCCGCGTTGCCACCGGGGCTTTCCGCACTTCTCCAAAGAGTAGTCTTCTGGCTGAAACGAATGAGCCACCTCTAGCTCTTCGTCGCCAGATGCTGGGGATGCGTTACACTTTGAAACTTCGCCAATACCCAACGCATCCGACGTACCCGTACGTCTTTTCACGTCACGCTACTCGATCTGACGGGAGGGTACGACCGTCGTTCGGAGAACGCATGGGAGGTCTTTTTTCAGCTGCTAACATATCCTTGCGTGGCGTTCGGCGTACCTGGGACACGCCCCCTCCACCCTGGAAAAACGCCAATCCGCAAGTGGACCTCTCACTATCGACTGTTAAGAAGGACAACTTGTTGCCTGCTGAGGCGCGAGCCAGAGCCTTAGAGCACATTGCCGTTTATGATGGTTTTATCACGGTTTATACAGACGGCTCGAAGACAACCGAGGGAGCGGGCTGCTCTTTTGTCGCTGGTCGTGACACCCGCTCGTTTTCTCTGCCACCTTCCGCCTCGGTGTTTTCTTCAGAGCTAGTCGCTATAGAGAAGGCTTTGTGTTTCATCGAGGTTTCTGGCAGTCCCTTTTACTTGATTTTATCTGATTCTCTTAGCAGCTTATTGGCCTTACGTACTTTTAACTCAGTTGACCCCATCGTGCGGGACATTTTAACTCGGCTTACGTCGGTGGAGCAATCTGGAAAATCAGTCCGTTTCTGCTGGATTCCCAGTCACGTCGGCATTGAAGGCAATGAGCTTGCTGATGCTGCTGCCAGACGCGCCGCCGCAGCACCCTGCACTCGGCGCTTGCCTCTGCCTGCCCGGGATTTTTATCCGCTGGTGCGACCCTTCATGCTTTCAAAGTGGCAGGCAGAGTGGGATTTGTGTGTAAGGAACAAGCTGAGAGAGTTGAAACCAACTCTAGAGCCTTGGCAGTCTTGCCTGCAAGGCAATCGTTTCCAGGAAGTGGTCCTCTGCAGACTCCGTATTGGTCACACATACGCGACGCACAGCTATCTCCTTTCAGGAGGTGAGCAGCCTTTGTGCAACAGGTGTTCCGTGCCTCTAACCGTCGCTCACGTTCTTTTATCTTGCCCACTCTTTGAACGGAACCGGACACGCTACCTGGGCTGTATTGCTCCTGGTACCACTATCCGCCACCTACTGGGTGACGAGTCACCCTGGGTTTTATCCGGCAATATTTTTTCCTTTATCCGTTCGGTCAACTTCCAGGTGATTTACTCAACCTGACCCAATTCCTCTCTAGTCTACTTGTCTAGTCAGTTGATTGTTACGACGCTCTTGCGTTGTTCTATCTTACCTTGCCGTTTTTATCAAGTCTTTTACTTTCTTAGCCTTGGTATATAGAAGGTCTCTTGTTTTGAAACACTTGTTTTATTAGAGTGACGTTATGGGCGCAAAATGACCTTCGCAGTCGGCGCGCCCTAAAGCCCCAATAAACAACAACATTGATGGAAATGTTTGTCATTTTGACAGGCTGTTCACTGTTCAGCTGATGATTCCCTTCTGTGCGATTGTGTAACCAGTATAGCGCCTTTTGGGGCGACTAACGGAGCGAGCGAGGGGGTGAGTCTTGCACGTGCGAAATTTCGAGGGGGTACCTCCAACTGACTTGTGCACGGCACCCTACTGACCGGTTTCTAGCGATGTGCCAAATTTGAGCACAATCGGCCCAGCCGTTCTCGAGATCTGGGAGCGGCACCCTGCACGTGCGCACGTGCAAAATGGGTCCCAACTGACTTGTGCACGGCACCCTACTAACTGGTCCCTAACCGTGTACCAAATTTGAGCGCCATCGGTCCAGCCGTTCTCGAGATCTGGAAACGACCCCTGCACGTGCGCACGTGCAGCAGCACCCCAACTCTGGCACATGGATATGCAGTGCCTAGTGGGTGCCTACCTACATGCCAACTTTCAGCGCAATCGGCCAAGTAGTTACCGAGATATTGCAACAATTACAAAACGGACACCTCTTCGTTTTGCACGTGGCACGTGCATAAGGGGTCACCCACATGCATCAGGAATAGTCCAATACTTGGTAGAAGGAATGAAGCTACCCTACAAAAATTACCGCGTGTAAATCGGTCAAGTGGTTGCTGAGATATAAGCCTCGCAAAAGCGTGACCACGGCCGGCCGGCCGGCCGGCCGGCCGCTCATACTCAGAAATTTCCGTTAATCTAAGGAAAGACTACGCTCGCTTCGCTCGCTCCGTAACTAGATATCGAGTGGTCAGGCTTCAGGGATGGGCAAAGCCAGCTGTGAATTAAGTGTGAACAACGTGCACTCTCGCACAATATTATGTTCTACTCAGGCTTTAGGCCGGAACCCGATGCCTCTCGGCTGCCCCGTATGCATCAGGAGTCAGGACCCCCCCCCCCCACACACACACCCACTCACTTCCTCTTTTTTTCTCTCTTCCTCTCTGGCAGGTTCGAGTTCCCGGACGTGCTGCGTCTGAACGACTTTCTGCAGACGCCGGAGAGCACGCCGGCCGAGTACGTGCTGCACGCGGTGCTCGTCCACTCGGGAGACAACCACGGCGGCCACTATGTGGTCTTCATTAACCCCAGAGGCGACGGAAAGGTACGGAAGGGTGATAGGCAAATGTGGCAGGAATGGGGAAGGAGGGGGGGGGGGAATGGCGTTTGTGTTGGGAAAGTCAGCCGTTTGCGGTGGGAGGATCCTTAATATGTCATCAGGTGTGTCACGTTTGTGAATTGACTCGTAAAACCCGACACCAGTTCAGTAGACCAGTTAACGACTAAGCTAATGCTGTTTCGGAGAAGTTTTTCCTTAGCAGATTGGGATGGTAAGCATGAGAAAGGTACAGCTATAGTTAGTTTCTGAAGATTCAAAGTAAAATAATAAAGTAAATGGGAACTAGTCTAGGTCTATTTAACTGGCTAGTTACGGTTAGTTTTTAGTCGAGCTTCGTGGTGTCAATATTGATCTAACCTTCTCACACCCGTTCTTCCCCTTCACCAGTGGTGTAAGTTCGACGACGACGTGGTGTCGCGGTGCACGCGCCAGGAGGCGATCGACCACAACTTTGGCGGTCAGGACGAGGAGTTGAACCTGACGGTGCGCCACAGCACCAACGCCTACATGCTGGTCTACATCCGCCGCTCGCACCTGGCCGAGGTGCTGCAGGAGGTCACCGAACAGGACATCCCGCTGGAGGTGAGCGGTGGGACGGTGGCGTGGGCGGAAGGAAAGAGGTACTGGGAAATGGAGACATACTACGTGGACCATGCTGCACTGGGAACAGAGTATATATGAGTAGATTCTGGGACCAGATGTTTTGATGTCAAATGTTGCTAGGAATTGAGCAGTGGTGCTGTGACCGGATATTTGTAGACCAAAGGGCAATTGAAGTATATTTGCACGGACTAGAGTCCAGATATATGTATTCTGGCCAGCGCTCGACCGCCTCTCTAACGCCTTTTCCTCCTGTTTTTTTTTTCCCAGCTGACTGAGCGACTGCAGGAGGAGAAGCGTCTGGAGGCCATCCGGCGGCGGGAGAGGAACGAACAGCACCTCTACATGCCCGTACAGGTCAGTGACGTGTATTGAACATCTTAGGCCGGACATGCGGGGCCTGCCCGCCGTCATCAGCTGTTTGGGCTCTGTCTTAACCCCAAATACACCGGGATCGGCTCGTTTTTACTTCTGTTGGTTGCCCCTTTACCCTTTCCTCCCAGTTGTAAGTGTTCGTGTGCTCCGCCGTCCTGCGAGGGGGCCGGATGGAACCCCTCTGCCTTACGTCTTGGGGTCGCTAATCGTCGCTAATCGCTAATCTTTGTATAATAATAATCTAATGTATAATAATAATAGAACGTCGCTAATCCTCAGCCCCACCGTGGCATCATTCCTTAGCTCCTTTGTCTCACTTCGGCCCTCAGACTCGTCGGGGTCCGTCTTACATAATTGCCGAGTCCTGTACAACTGTGACCTGACGCGGGCAGCTTATGTGTGAGCATGGCCTGATGTGACCCGACATGACCTCAGTAACGTCCACTGACGCTCCTATCTTCCGCAGGTGGTTCTGGAGGACAGTTTCGAGGGTCACCACGGTCCGGACCTGTACGACCCCGAGAAGGTCAACTACCGGACGTTCAGAGTGAAAAAGTCGGCCACCCTCCGAGAAATGATGGACCTCTTCTCAGAGACACTGGTGAGTAATTTTGTCACTGTTTGGGGTTTGACAGAGAGTTGAGATGTGACTCCGATTTGTGAGGTCAGGCGGGAGGCGTTTGTGGGATCACTGTCTAGGATGGCAGTTTGGTCCTGCCTCACGTTGAAAGATTATATTTAGTTCATGGCTTAGGTTAATGGTGAGCTAACACAAAGTTAAGGCTCCTGGTGAAAGTTCAGGGTGTCGAGCCCAGTCACAGTTAGGTTCACTGTGTGAAAACAGTGTCAGGTCTCCGTGGTAAATTTTTATAGGATTACAGCGTAAATTCACGGCACGGATTCTAACTGCACAGCGTTATTTCAGAGCGTTGGTTCCCGATGTCTGCGTGGTCACCGTTGGTGCTAAGCTTAGACGCTCTCGCCTCCCGGCCTGTTGACAGAAAGTACCTGTGAAACACCTTCGGCCGTGGCCGATGACGATCCGCACCAACCAGACTAACCGACCCACGGTGATCGACATGGACGGAGACATCCTGAAAAAGGTGAGAGAGAAAAAAAACACCGATAATAGAGAAACTGCGAAATATGCTGAGAAACGGTGGGTAAGGTGTCAGCAGTCGACATTGTACACTCTCATGCTAAAAAAGATGGATACTTCATCAATCGTCGGCATGCATCCTGCTACAGAAGGTTGGGAACTGGCTGTGACTCTGACCTCTGTGACCTTTCTGACCTCTGTGACCTTCCCTCAGGTGTCAGACCTGGCCGACTCGAACTCTGCGTGGACGCTGTTCCTGGAGTGTCTGCCGGCCGACCAGCCGCCCACCGCCTCGCTGCCGCCGTTCGACAAAGACTGTGATGTGCTCATCTTCTTCAAACTCTACTGTCCGCGCACCAAGCAGATTCACTACTGCGGCCACCAGTACATACCCATCTCCAGCAAAGTCCGTGAGTGACAACTAACCAACCTGTCGCCCTTCGGTGGGCGCTGACTAGGTGTCTTGCGCAGTAGCCAGAACCATCGCGGATATATTACTTTGAAGTGTTTACTAAAAGTTAGCTACAGGGTAGCTACCCATTTAATGTTTTGGTTATATGTGTATCACTTTCTTTGTATTGTATTAATGTGTCATGTGCCGTTTATGTTGTGTATGTGCGTTTGTGGATTTTTTTTTTGCGCCTGCCGCAAGAGGAAGTCCTAGAAGTTTTAGATACCGTAGTGGTCTTTATCTCCGATAGAGAAAGCAATATTAGAATAACTCGCCCCTCATCTACCCCGCCTGCCGAGTTAGGCTCGCCCAGCAACAAGCTTGCTTAGCTGGGTGGCCTATTTCGGTGGGCATTTGACCATGCTGAAACCTGACCAGGAACCGACACCGACCTTTTGATCTGCATGCTACTGGCTTATACCCATGTCCTTGTGTGATTGTTCCAACTCCCTGTGCGAATGTGTAACTAACCAAGGTATGAATGTAAAGGTACTGAATAAAAAAAAACGTAGTGTCTAGTCAAAGCTATTTTTAGCTTTGATTTCTTTCCGCCCCTTGCATGCATGACTCATAACACTACTTGCATCTGTATTTGGCTGCACAGGTTTTTTTCGCTTCTTTTTTTGTTATTTTCCTTTTCTTAGCAGGGAGTGTCACGACTTGCATATTTTTGTTTTTGGTGTTAACGTATGGTTCTGTGGTCGTGCGGGACCGTGGGTGGACACTCCTGGTCGTCTGTTCATGGGCGGCGGACTATTTCATAGATTAGTTTAAAAAAAAAAATGCGTTTACTGATAGTCATACTGAGAGATATGCAACGATGCCAATTGATTTGACATTGTGATGTGTAGTTTGCAGGCACGCAAATATGCGCGATAATTGGCTAGTATTTGTTTGTTCATGAGGTAAGTAGTTTGATAGTCATTAGTCACGATATAGGTTTCGTGATCATTCTCCCTCTTCTAACCGATCTCCTTCGTCGCCAGGCGAGCTGGTTCCCCTCCTCAACGAGCGGGCCGGCTTCCCTCCGGACACCGAGCTGCACCTGTACGAGGAGCTAAAACCGAACATGGTGGAGCGTCTGGAGGAGCTGGAGACGTCGCTGGACAAGGCGCTGGACGAGCTGATGGACGGAGACATCATCCTCTTCCAGAAGGCCGAGCATGAGCCGTGCGACGGCGACCTGCCGACTGTCGAGGATTACTACAAGTGAGTTTTAAGGAAGGGGTAAAAAAGTGTGGTAAAAAAGAACCGATCAGGCAGAATACGTGTCGCGGCTCTATTCTTACCATGGACATCTCGGTATGCAGTTGTGGTCTGGCTTGTCAAACTCATTGAAATGTTTAAACTACAAGTTTTTTCCCTGTGGAGGCAATGCTCAAACCAAACCACACAACTCCCGTCCCTCATGTGTGCGGAACAAATCTTCTACCTTGTAGAGATGACATTCTTTCTAACGCTGTCCCATTCACAGAGATCTCTTCTACCGGGTGGAGGTGACGTTCTGCGATAAGACGGTGCCGTCGGACCCGGGTATTGTGATCGAGCTCTCCCAGCGGATGAACTACGATCAGATGGCGCGCGCCGTGGCGCTCCGGCTCGGCACCGACCCCTACATGCTGCAGTTCTTCAAGGCGCAAAAGTGAGCAAGATCAGGCCGGGACCGCCGTGATGTGGCACTAGTGGCAAATAGGACGAGTAGAATACGCTGATGGGAACTTGATGGTAATTTGTATGTGTATATCGTGTCCTGTTTGGAGCTGGTTGGCAATGAACTGTTAGGGAAACGTGCCCATTTATGACTTCAGCTTATGCACTTCTTCGGCATATCACTAACCCTATCGTTTCTTGCCGCCGTATGTATTACATGACGTATCATCGGCCGTTTTCGGCTCTGCGCCGGTATCTTGGCGGGTGCCGTCTCATTTCTTACTCTATCTGACCCCGCTGTCACCTGCTCCAGCTACCGGGAGGGTCCCGGTAACGCACTGCGCTGCACCTACGAGGGTACGCTCAAGGATCTCCTGGTCGGCTACAAACCCAGGCAGCCCAAGCGCATCTACTACCAGCAGCTCTCGATCCGCATCAACGAGCTGGAAAACAAACGGCAGGTCAAGGTGAGTTGGAGTTCAGCGAGAGGCTGGCTAAAGGACAAAGAGACGGACTAAATTCATCATTCAATGATAAACAGTTTCAAGTTTAGGCCTACGACGTTGGGGTTGGGAGCTAAGTGGACTGGGTTATTAGTTTGCCCGTCGTAACGTTCGTCCATCTAACCGTCGCACCATTTTCCCTCGCAGTGTATCTGGGTCGGTCCTCGCCTCAAGGAGGAGAAGGAGCTCGTGCTGTACCCGAACAAGGACGGCACGGTGGCAGACCTTCTCGAGGAGGCGGCCAAACAGGTGCAGCTCGCTGACGGCGGCTCGGGCCAGCTGCGACTCCTGGAGATCGTCGGACACAAGATAGTCAGTGTGGTGAAGGAGTTTACACACCTGGATACCCTGCCGGTCGGCTCGGCCAAGGTGGGTGCAAGGGTGGAAGTTTGGGGGACTGGTGTTGAAAGTTGGGGGAAGGGGGTATATGCAGCTGTGAGGGAACGTGAAATACGTACGAAATAAAGTCTGTTCCATACCGAGCTGAGTTTGATTTTTTTTTTCGGCAATTATCTGCTTCGTTCAATTCGTCTAATATACTAATATCTCAGCAACCGGACAAGCGATCGGGATGGAACCAAAAAATACGTGACGAGAGTTTAACAGGCTGACGTAATACCCCGTCGCGACGCGAAGCGAGCGGCAAAAGTCGCTTGTATAATAGCTATGTGTATAGAAATCACGCCCTGCTTTGAGCGGGGCACTTTGGCCGCCCGAGCTTGATATGGAACAGACAATAGTAGAGTTTTTAAGTCATGTGCAGCAGGGGGGGGGCAGTGAAGGGCGTGGTGCGTTTTGGGACTATAGGCTGACCGCTTAGGCTGACCGCTTTTACTGCATTTTTTTACTTCCACGGACCCTTCCCTAATGTATGGCTGGCCTCTTGGCACTACAGTACCCCCCAGGCAATTCATCGTTGACTGTCTCCCTACATATATTCTTCCTCTCTTGGTGACATCCCTATGAATTTCTCTTCCAACTATGTAGTTATCTCCTCGCTGTAACCATCTCTTCCGTCTCCGTGTCAGGTGTACCGGGTGGAGGAGACGCCGCGTGACGAACTCAAACTAGAGGAGGACGAGCTGCTCGTGCCGTGCGCCCACTTCCAGAAGGAGATCTTCTACGTTCGTTGTGCCCTTCCTGCCTCGAGTCAAGACGTAAGTGCTCTGCTTTGGTAGTGTGAGCACTTAGAGACGAAGTGATCCGACGGATTATCCTTGCGGTTTGCATGCTGCGGTCTGCCAGTTACCTGACCTGACCTGACCCGTCCGCAGGGAGAGCTGTTTTCGGCAGTCAAAGAGCGGATACAGAAGAAACTCGAGGTTCCAGACAAAGAGTTTGAAAAGTATCGGTTCGCACTAGTGTCTCAGGCGACGCACAAGTTTGTGCCAGAGGAGGCCGACTGGCACCTCAGTCTACAGGATATTCGGCCCAAGATTGGCTCAGGTGAGAACCGGTTTTCCGACACTCACATGCTTATTGTCATACCACAGATTTACTGAGGTTATCCGCCCGACATGGGTGCATCACTCTAAAGTGGCCGCTGGGCAACAGCAATTGGGCAGCCGTTGCTATTCACGTGAGAAAGAAACGTTGCCAAGTTTGTTGGTTGCTGACTTTCAGTTCTTAGTCGTATGCCATGCTCCTCGTACTTTGCACGTCTTATAATTCGTATTTGACGCACCTTACATGAATACGTTCCAGTTTAACCCGCGACCTGGTGGGGGGGGCTATTTTTTGCCCCCCCCCCCTCCAGACTTTTCGATATATCTCCAGAACCGCTGCGCCGATCGTCACCAAACTTTCAGTACCCTCCCGGACATCAATTTTACACATGGTGACCAAAAATTTTTCCAAAAGCTATGATAGGTTGGCCGGAAATGACGTCAGAGTGACGTCATGTTCTGCCGTTTTCGACCCAAAAAAGGGTTTCGCGGGAAGAGCTGTCAGGCCTATAGCTTTGCAAACACAGAAAAATGTTTAGGACATAAAAGCTGTAGAATTGACAGGGCTACAAAACTGCTATCTCGGATTTTTGAATTTTTTTGATTTTGACCCCCAAAAATCAAAAATATATTTTTGGGATATATAGTCGAAAAATCCAAAAAGTTTTTTGAATTTCGCAAAAACCGGAATATATGTGATAGTCCTTACCGCCTTCCATCCACATACCAAATTTTAGATTGATACCTCTTTTTTTGGCGAAGTTATAGCGAAAAAAACTGTTCAAAATTGATGACGTCAAATTTTCAAACTCAATTTTCAGCAATTCTAGACCTCGTAGCGCAAAACAAAGACCACCATTAGACTCCCCGTGACGAGCTGCATCGAATCGATACCCTTTTTATGCAAAAATATCAACTTTGAAATTTGACCTTTTTTGACCTGACCTTGACCTGACCTCCACCAGAAAGTGACCTAAACCGTACCTGATGGTCTTATAACCAACACCATTGGGTTGGAAATGAAAAACTGGCCATAAAACATGCATCGCACAACCTTAGTAAAGTTGGGTTCATGTGGTGACCCTTGGTGACCTTTGGTGACCTGACCTGTGACCTGACCTGGTATGACCAGTGACCTCTAATAGCAACATATGTACTAGACAACTGACGTCTTATCGCTGATTTTCGACAAAATGCGTTTTACTCGGTGTTAAAGCGCTTTCCCTAGAAGCCCCGTGAACGGTGAAACATTTTATCTTTGACCTGACCTGTGACGTCATCGGTGACCCCGAGGTCAATAAAATTTGGTTTCCTTCGACAAATTTGACAGGGCTATCGAACGCCGTTTGAATTTTGCGGATCCGTCCAGTAGTTTCGGAGATACGAGGGGGGGGGGCAAAAAATAGCCCCCCCCCCACCAGGTCGCGTTATAAACAGACCCCACCAGGGCGCGGGTTAATAAACCCTCACCGGTACTTTATAACAGGAACGGCTATGGCTGTTTGAAAAGCTGAACCGTAAGCACACATTTGACCTTGATGTCTGAGCCACCAACGCGTTCGGTTAGCTGCCTTCTGACGCCAGGCCGGGCACAAGTCAGCGAACGGCTGTGGATTTAACAGGGCTTGGGACTGATTAAGTGAGATAGCAGGTTCTTAGCTAATGTGGTGCGTTAATCATGACAGATACTGACTGAATGAACACAGCTGAAAGTGGATGTGGTATTTCGTGGCATTACATTTTAATACGTGACTGGTTTAGTTCGTTTACGATTTGTTCGTAAACGACTGGTTAAGTTCGTTTGGTTTATGGCTCAACAGCTGAGCCTGAAACCAAAAGCGAGCTGCGGATGAAGCGTAGCTGACTGGCAGTCGACACTGTCTTCCTGGCTATTTGGGAAATGCTGTCGGTGGGATACACGTTTTGTTAAGGAGTTTGGGTGAAGGGGGACTGGGTGAAGGTTTCTGGGTAGCCGGAGCCACCCATGAGGAATGGTGAGAGCCGGCTGGTACCGGTCACTCCGTACACTGTTGGCAGGATGGATGATCGGAAAGCTGACCGTTATCAGGAAATATAAGAATATTGTGTGAGTGCTTGCTTTGGGTTCACGCTCTGACTTTGCTTCTCCAATTACAGGTCTTTCTTATACAGAAACAAATGACTATCAGGCACATGTTAGGCGCCTGCTACATATTGCTAATCGATCGTGCTTGCTGCGTCTTACCAAGACGTCGTTTTGACTGTTCTCCCCGCCATTTTCAGGCTCCTCGACTCTCTCCTGGCTGGGTCTGGAGCACATGAACAAGACGCCAAAGCGCTCCCGATACAACTACCTGGAGAAGGCCATCAAGATCTACAATTGAGCTTGAGAAGGCGGCGGAGCCGACAAACGCTAGTTGGGCGGGCCGCCAATAGGTGGCGCCACCGTGTACAGTGTTGATTGGCGGCCGGGCTCGGGCCCGTCGCCCCTGTCGAGCTGTGATTACCCCCTAGCTAGGGACGCGCGCGTGCGTCCGCAACAGCAGCGGGCCAGAGCGCTACTGAGCTGCTGAGAGAGAGAAAGAGCGAGTCGAGAGAGTCGAGAGAAAGAGCGCGCGAGCGAGCGATCTGAGCTGCCAAGCGGCCCGTGGCGCGCGCGGGCCGCGCACGGCCGAGTCTCACGGGCAGGGGGCGCCGCGCGGGCCGGCGCGTCAGCCGGCGCCGGCCGAGACCGTTTGTTTTTACCTCCTATTGCCCGCGGACTCTCCGCGCACTACCTGATCGTGATCGTGTCTGCCGATAGATTTCTCTTTGACCGCCGGCCGAGCGCCGACAGCGCCGCCACACGGCCGCCAGACGAAACGACAGTTGCTCGCAGTGCCACAGTGTGGCGCTGACCGAGTCCCTTGCGATTTGAGTTCATTCCAACAAATTCTGAGGCAGCCGAGGTTGAAAAGTAAAACACCAAGTGCTATGTTTTAATAATAAATTATGACAAATGAATGGTATTTTGTGTTTATCGTCCTGGTGATGCAGGGGGTGCTGAATACCTTAGCAGTTAGCAGTCTCAGGGCCTGAAAACTATGATCTTCTTTTTCGGAGTCGTACTCACTTATGCTAGTGAGTTTACTGTTTCATTTTACCGCAATATCAGAACTCAGAAAGTGGCTTATACTACCACGAGTAGTTACTGCTAGATATTCAGATTGAATTAACCAATCCGTGAACCCAAAAATCCGCTCCAATCATAGTTACGGCACTCGGCCGCCAGGGGCGCTGTCACGCGAACGGCCTTGACCGCTCGCACGTGTCAGCGGCAGTTCGGTCCCGTTATTGATAGCTTGGGAGCGCCTGTCGCCTGGAGCTCTGAAGTCTGAACGTTGATTTAGGCGATCGTGTTGCTCCGTGTCGGTAACGTGTTGGGTGTATTATCACGCGCACTTATTGAAGGGGGTGGGGGTCGGATAAATAGGTATCCGTAAAAGAGGCGGATATCTATGGAAAGTCAGTACCCCATAATTTTTACAATTTTCATGGCGTTGCATGCCCTGAGCCAACGAATTTGAACGCGACACCTACATCTTCCTAGGTCATTGCTGGCCAGAATACCAGACACTTCTGCGGTAACAATTGAATGCCTTGACCGATTATATGAGTAGATATGACCAGCCCACGATTTTAAGTATTCACTGCTGAAAATGTAATTTTTGGGTACTTGACCTAGCTCTGACCTGTTCCTGGGCATTTGATCCAAGAATCGAAAGTAGGTATCTCGTGGCGAGCTTCGTATTGCGACGTAGCTCCGGCTCTGTGACCGTTGGCTTAAAGGTAGTGTGCCAGCTTTCTTGGACCATATGGAGTTAATGACCCGGATAAGGAGAACCGGATTTTTAGAACTTATCCATACCTTCAAAACTTATGGAAACGTCTTAAATTCTTCAAATTTTGAGTACCCCAGTGCGAAATTCGCCCCGACGGGTTTGTCGGTCGTCCCCAACCACATTTCACACCACTATGAACAATAAATGCACACACTAAAATCGCTATTACCGATAGGCTCATCCAATCAAGTTTCGATAAACCCGTTCATCATCATCTCCTGCGGTTTCGAACACGCCTGTTAGGTGGCTTCTGATGCTCGTCGAGGTCGGAATTTCCAAATACGCGTGGTGCGTCGGGCCGCGCGCTCTGACTTCGGCCAAGAAAAAATGCGTCAGCTGATCATTGTCATTTCGCCACTTGCGTGTGGTGTAATGGGTCATAACTTAAGAGACGGCTGTTTCATATCAATTATTTACATAAAATCATATTTCAAACACAAATTAATGTTCGACAGCCAAATTGAAACAATACCAATACAGGCTTACAGTTTAAGGCTCGACATTGTGTTGTCTCCGATTAGACAGCTGATAACCATTCCCGTACGTCGTATGGTCGTAACACTATAATGACCTTTGCTTATTGTCACAAGTGCGCCGCATTCGCGATTGTTGCCCGACGCCTGTTTGCAGGTGAGCCCAATACAGTTGTTATACATATCTAAAAACCGATAAACTTTTAGGCGAAAAAGGCACTATTCCAGGCCCATTTTTGATTTTTTTTTGCGATATTAGGTAAAAACAGAAGCTTCTTATCCTAGGAAAAATAAAACGGGAAATCTTTCAAAGGTGGCACACTACCTTTAAAAGTTACCAGCTGAGGACTTTTATGCTCCCCCCCCCCCTCCCCCAAGCTGGGGTGGCTGGCGAGGGACTTCAGCGGGTCCCGTAGCTCAGTTGGTAGAGCGTTGGACTCCGCGTGGTAGAGCACGCGTTCCCGGTTAAAACAGTCCGGGTTCAAAGCGCGACAGGCGCTTGACGTTATGGCCCTCCGACAGGTATGGCTGCAGTTGGTGGCAGGCCGTAGCCAGGCTAAGTCAGCGAGGGGACCGGCCGTGCGCGGCTATGTGCGCACGTTAAACTTTGGACTCTAAATTCTGCCATAGAACCGGAATTGCGCGATCGGAGGGTAGAAGGCAGGTTCAACGCAACAAGCTTCGCTTAGTGGGTGCTCTGTCTTTGTGAATCCTTCCTTCAAAATGTTCGGGCTTCGGACTAAAGCTATTAAAAAGAAAAAATGCAGGGTTATCTCTCAGTAACATCCTGGGGCCAGTGAAGGTAAGTTAATGGCACCAGTATAATTAATGACTTTTGGCCGGCAGCGTCATTCAGTGTGAGAACGGACGGTATTTAGCCGGCTTATCAGGTCTTCTGACGGTCAGAGAGAATCAGAGAGTGGAAGAACGGCCAAAAGGCGAGTAGTGCAACGACTCAAAACTGTAGTGAGGCCGGTTCTCTGCTCGGTACGGTGATCCACTCCATTCTTCATGAGTGTCAGTGGACCAAGGTCTATTCAAACAGCAGCCGGGTACATTTTACCTCTCCTCTGCTGTCTGATGCCTGTTTCTCTCCGCACTGCGATGAATCGGGCGGAATGTACTAGTGCTATGCTCTATAACATTTAGCTGCGCGTGACTCGGGAGACAGGCTGAAAAAAAATCTTGAAAAGCATCGAATGATGTTGGGGAAACTTTGAGGTTTGTCGCTAGCTAGTAGTATCGATTTTCCAGAGCTTCCGAGCAATTGTTAATGAACCGTGCCGAGGCTCACTGATTGCTGATAAATACTGAAAATGGCGGCAGGGCGCGGACTAGTGGTCGATGGTTGCACCGATGGGGAATGGAAGTTTGGTTATTTATCGCGGTTATTGTTCCGATATTTTTTTTGTGTTTAGTAGATGAGTGGATTGTTCGATTAGGTAGCTTCCAGGCAGCAAAAAGTAAGCCTGTTGGCTGCGCGATTCTGTGTGTTCTTGATTCTTTTGATATCGAAGCTGGACTACGCGTGTTTTGTTTATGATTCTGCAAGTGAGTCCAGCAAGAAGTCCCTGGACGCAGTACATCACGCTGCGCTCCGCGTTGCCACCGGGGCTTTCCGCACTTCTCCAAAGAGTAGTCTTCTGGCTGAAACGAATGAGCCACCTCTAGCTCTTCGTCGCCAGATGCTGGGGATGCGTTACACTTTGAAACTTCGCCAATACCCAACGCATCCGACGTACCCGTACGTCTTTTCACGTCACGCTACTCGATCTGACGGGAGGGTACGACCGTCGTTCGGAGAACGCATGGGAGGTCTTTTTTCAGCTGCTAACATATCCTTGCGTGGCGTTCGGCGTACCTGGGACACGCCCCCTCCACCCTGGAAAAACGCCAATCCGCAAGTGGACCTCTCACTATCGACTGTTAAGAAGGACAACTTGTTGCCTGCTGAGGCGCGAGCCAGAGCCTTAGAGCACATTGCCGTTTATGATGGTTTTATCACGGTTTATACAGACGGCTCGAAGACAACCGAGGGAGCGGGCTGCTCTTTTGTCGCTGGTCGTGACACCCCGCTCGTTTCTCTGCCACCTTCCGCCTCGGTGTTTTCTTCAGAGCTAGTCGCTATAGAGAAGGCTTTGTGTTTCATCGAGGTTTCTGGCAGTCCCTTTTACTTGATTTTATCTGATTCTCTTAGCAGCTTATTGGCCTTACGTACTTTTAACTCAGTTGACCCCATCGTGCGGGACATTTTAACTCGGCTTACGTCGGTGGAGCAATCTGGAAAATCAGTCCGTTTCTGCTGGATTCCCAGTCACGTCGGCATTGAAGGCAATGAGCTTGCTGATGCTGCTGCCAGACGCGCCGCCGCAGCACCCTGCACTCGGCGCTTGCCTCTGCCTGCCCGGGATTTTTATCCGCTGGTGCGACCCTTCATGCTTTCAAAGTGGCAGGCAGAGTGGGATTTGTGTGTAAGGAACAAGCTGAGAGAGTTGAAACCAACTCTAGAGCCTTGGCAGTCTTGCCTGCAAGGCAATCGTTTCCAGGAAGTGGTCCTCTGCAGACTCCGTATTGGTCACACATACGCGACGCACAGCTATCTCCTTCAGGAGGTGAGCAGCCTTTGTGCAACAGGTGTTCCGTGCCTCTAACCGTCGCTCACGTTCTTTTATCTTGCCCACTCTTTGAACGGAACCGGACACGCTACCTGGGCTGTATTGCTCCTGGTACCACTATCCGCCACCTACTGGGTGACGAGTCACCCTGGGTTTTATCCGGCAATATTTTTTCCTTTATCCGTTCGGTCAACTTCCAGGTGATTTACTCAACCTGACCCAATTCCTCTCTAGTCTACTTGTCTAGTCAGTTGATTGTTACGACGCTCTTGCGTTGTTCTATCTTACCTTGCCGTTTTTATCAAGTCTTTTACTTTCTTAGCCTTGGTATATAGAAGGTCTCTTGTTTTGAAACACTTGTTTTATTAGAGTGACGTTATGGGCGCAAAATGACCTTCGCAGTCGGCGCGCCCTAAAGCCCCAATAAACAACAACATTGATGGAAATGTTTGTCATTTTGACAGGCTGTTCACTGTTCAGCTGATGATTCCCTTCTGTGCGATTGTGTAACCAGTATAGCGCCTTTTGGGGCGACTAACGGAGCGAGCGAGGGGGTGAGTCTTGCACGTGCGAAATTTCGAGGGGGTACCTCCAACTGACTTGTGCACGGCACCCTACTGACCGGTTTCTAGCGATGTGCCAAATTTGAGCACAATCGGCCCAGCCGTTCTCGAGATCTGGGAGCGGCACCCTGCACGTGCGCACGTGCAAAATGGGTCCCAACTGACTTGTGCACGGCACCCTACTAACTGGTCCCTAACCGTGTACCAAATTTGAGCGCCATCGGTCCAGCCGTTCTCGAGATCTGGAAACGACCCCTGCACGTGCGCACGTGCAGCAGCACCCCAACTCTGGCACATGGATATGCAGTGCCTAGTGGGTGCCTACCTACATGCCAACTTTCAGCGCAATCGGCCAAGTAGTTACCGAGATATTGCAACAATTACAAAACGGACACCTCTTCGTTTTGCACGTGGCACGTGCATAAGGGGTCACCCACATGCATCAGGAATAGTCCAATACTTGGTAGAAGGAATGAAGCTACCCTACAAAAATTACCGCGTGTAAATCGGTCAAGTGGTTGCTGAGATATAAGCCTCGCAAAAGCGTGACCACGGCCGGCCGGCCGGCCGGCCGGCCGCTCATACTCAGAAATTTCCGTTAATCTAAGGAAAGACTACGCTCGCTTCGCTCGCTCCGTAACTAGATATCGAGTGGTCAGGCTTCAGGGATGGGCAAAGCCAGCTGTGAATTAAGTGTGAACAACGTGCACTCTCGCACAATATTATGTTCTACTCAGGCTTTAGGCCGGAACCCGATGCCTCTCGGCTGCCCCGTATGCATCAGGAGTCAGGACCCCCCCCCCCCACACACACACACCCACTCACTTCCTCTTTTTTTCTCTCTTCCTCTCTGGCAGGTTCGAGTTCCCGGACGTGCTGCGTCTGAACGACTTTCTGCAGACGCCGGAGAGCACGCCGGCCGAGTACGTGCTGCACGCGGTGCTCGTCCACTCGGGAGACAACCACGGCGGCCACTATGTGGTCTTCATTAACCCCAGAGGCGACGGAAAGGTACGGAAGGGTGATAGGCAAATGTGGCAGGAATGGGGAAGGAGGGGGGGGGGAATGGCGTTTGTGTTGGGAAAGTCAGCCGTTTGCGGTGGGAGGATCCTTAATATGTCATCAGGTGTGTCACGTTTGTGAATTGACTCGTAAAACCCGACACCAGTTCAGTAGACCAGTTAACGACTAAGCTAATGCTGTTTCGGAGAAGTTTTTCCTTAGCAGATTGGGATGGTAAGCATGAGAAAGGTACAGCTATAGTTAGTTTCTGAAGATTCAAAGTAAAATAATAAAGTAAATGGGAACTAGTCTAGGTCTATTTAACTGGCTAGTTACGGTTAGTTTTTAGTCGAGCTTCGTGGTGTCAATATTGATCTAACCTTCTCACACCCGTTCTTCCCCTTCACCAGTGGTGTAAGTTCGACGACGACGTGGTGTCGCGGTGCACGCGCCAGGAGGCGATCGACCACAACTTTGGCGGTCAGGACGAGGAGTTGAACCTGACGGTGCGCCACAGCACCAACGCCTACATGCTGGTCTACATCCGCCGCTCGCACCTGGCCGAGGTGCTGCAGGAGGTCACCGAACAGGACATCCCGCTGGAGGTGAGCGGTGGGACGGTGGCGTGGGCGGAAGGAAAGAGGTACTGGGAAATGGAGACATACTACGTGGACCATGCTGCACTGGGAACAGAGTATATATGAGTAGATTCTGGGACCAGATGTTTTGATGTCAAATGTTGCTAGGAATTGAGCAGTGGTGCTGTGACCGGATATTTGTAGACCAAAGGGCAATTGAAGTATATTTGCACGGACTAGAGTCCAGATATATGTATTCTGGCCAGCGCTCGACCGCCTCTCTAACGCCTTTTCCTCCTGTTTTTTTTTTCCCAGCTGACTGAGCGACTGCAGGAGGAGAAGCGTCTGGAGGCCATCCGGCGGCGGGAGAGGAACGAACAGCACCTCTACATGCCCGTACAGGTCAGTGACGTGTATTGAACATCTTAGGCCGGACATGCGGGGCCTGCCCGCCGTCATCAGCTGTTTGGGCTCTGTCTTAACCCCAAATACACCGGGATCGGCTCGTTTTTACTTCTGTTGGTTGCCCCTTTACCCTTTCCTCCCAGTTGTAAGTGTTCGTGTGCTCCGCCGTCCTGCGAGGGGGCCGGATGGAACCCCTCTGCCTTACGTCTTGGGGTCGCTAATCGTCGCTAATCGCTAATCTTTGTATAATAATAATCTAATGTATAATAATAATAGAACGTCGCTAATCCTCAGCCCCACCGTGGCATCATTCCTTAGCTCCTTTGTCTCACTTCGGCCCTCAGACTCGTCGGGGTCCGTCTTACATAATTGCCGAGTCCTGTACAACTGTGACCTGACGCGGGCAGCTTATGTGTGAGCATGGCCTGATGTGACCCGACATGACCTCAGTAACGTCCACTGACGCTCCTATCTTCCGCAGGTGGTTCTGGAGGACAGTTTCGAGGGTCACCACGGTCCGGACCTGTACGACCCCGAGAAGGTCAACTACCGGACGTTCAGAGTGAAAAAGTCGGCCACCCTCCGAGAAATGATGGACCTCTTCTCAGAGACACTGGTGAGTAATTTTGTCACTGTTTGGGGTTTGACAGAGAGTTGAGATGTGACTCCGATTTGTGAGGTCAGGCGGGAGGCGTTTGTGGGATCACTGTCTAGGATGGCAGTTTGGTCCTGCCTCACGTTGAAAGATTATATTTAGTTCATGGCTTAGGTTAATGGTGAGCTAACACAAAGTTAAGGCTCCTGGTGAAAGTTCAGGGTGTCGAGCCCAGTCACAGTTAGGTTCACTGTGTGAAAACAGTGTCAGGTCTCCGTGGTAAATTTTTATAGGATTACAGCGTAAATTCACGGCACGGATTCTAACTGCACAGCGTTATTTCAGAGCGTTGGTTCCCGATGTCTGCGTGGTCACCGTTGGTGCTAAGCTTAGACGCTCTCGCCTCCCGGCCTGTTGACAGAAAGTACCTGTGAAACACCTTCGGCCGTGGCCGATGACGATCCGCACCAACCAGACTAACCGACCCACGGTGATCGACATGGACGGAGACATCCTGAAAAAGGTGAGAGAGAAAAAAAACACCGATAATAGAGAAACTGCGAAATATGCTGAGAAACGGTGGGTAAGGTGTCAGCAGTCGACATTGTACACTCTCATGCTAAAAAAGATGGATACTTCATCAATCGTCGGCATGCATCCTGCTACAGAAGGTTGGGAACTGGCTGTGACTCTGACCTCTGTGACCTTTCTGACCTCTGTGACCTTCCCTCAGGTGTCAGACCTGGCCGACTCGAACTCTGCGTGGACGCTGTTCCTGGAGTGTCTGCCGGCCGACCAGCCGCCCACCGCCTCGCTGCCGCCGTTCGACAAAGACTGTGATGTGCTCATCTTCTTCAAACTCTACTGTCCGCGCACCAAGCAGATTCACTACTGCGGCCACCAGTACATACCCATCTCCAGCAAAGTCCGTGAGTGACAACTAACCAACCTGTCGCCCTTCGGTGGGCGCTGACTAGGTGTCTTGCGCAGTAGCCAGAACCATCGCGGATATATTACTTTGAAGTGTTTACTAAAAGTTAGCTACAGGGTAGCTACCCATTTAATGTTTTGGTTATATGTGTATCACTTTCTTTGTATTGTATTAATGTGTCATGTGCCGTTTATGTTGTGTATGTGCGTTTGTGGATTTTTTTTTTTGCGCCTGCCGCAAGAGGAAGTCCTAGAAGTTTTAGATACCGTAGTGGTCTTTATCTCCGATAGAGAAAGCAATATTAGAATAACTCGCCCCTCATCTACCCCGCCTGCCGAGTTAGGCTCGCCCAGCAACAAGCTTGCTTAGCTGGGTGGCCTATTTCGGTGGGCATTTGACCATGCTGAAACCTGACCAGGAACCGACACCGACCTTTTGATCTGCATGCTACTGGCTTATACCCATGTCCTTGTGTGATTGTTCCAACTCCCTGTGCGAATGTGTAACTAACCAAGGTATGAATGTAAAGGTACTGAATAAAAAAAAACGTAGTGTCTAGTCAAAGCTATTTTTAGCTTTGATTTCTTTCCGCCCCTTGCATGCATGACTCATAACACTACTTGCATCTGTATTTGGCTGCACAGGTTTTTTTCGCTTCTTTTTTTGTTATTTTCCTTTTCTTAGCAGGGAGTGTCACGACTTGCATATTTTTGTTTTTGGTGTTAACGTATGGTTCTGTGGTCGTGCGGGACCGTGGGTGGACACTCCTGGTCGTCTGTTCATGGGCGGCGGACTATTTCATAGATTAGTTTAAAAAAAAAATGCGTTTACTGATAGTCATACTGAGAGATATGCAACGATGCCAATTGATTTGACATTGTGATGTGTAGTTTGCAGGCACGCAAATATGCGCGATAATTGGCTAGTATTTGTTTGTTCATGAGGTAAGTAGTTTGATAGTCATTAGTCACGATATAGGTTTCGTGATCATTCTCCCTCTTCTAACCGATCTCCTTCGTCGCCAGGCGAGCTGGTTCCCCTCCTCAACGAGCGGGCCGGCTTCCCTCCGGACACCGAGCTGCACCTGTACGAGGAGCTAAAACCGAACATGGTGGAGCGTCTGGAGGAGCTGGAGACGTCGCTGGACAAGGCGCTGGACGAGCTGATGGACGGAGACATCATCCTCTTCCAGAAGGCCGAGCATGAGCCGTGCGACGGCGACCTGCCGACTGTCGAGGATTACTACAAGTGAGTTTTAAGGAAGGGGTAAAAAAGTGTGGTAAAAAAGAACCGATCAGGCAGAATACGTGTCGCGGCTCTATTCTTACCATGGACATCTCGGTATGCAGTTGTGGTCTGGCTTGTCAAACTCATTGAAATGTTTAAACTACAAGTTTTTTCCCTGTGGAGGCAATGCTCAAACCAAACCACACAACTCCCGTCCCTCATGTGTGCGGAACAAATCTTCTACCTTGTAGAGATGACATTCTTTCTAACGCTGTCCCATTCACAGAGATCTCTTCTACCGGGTGGAGGTGACGTTCTGCGATAAGACGGTGCCGTCGGACCCGGGTATTGTGATCGAGCTCTCCCAGCGGATGAACTACGATCAGATGGCGCGCGCCGTGGCGCTCCGGCTCGGCACCGACCCCTACATGCTGCAGTTCTTCAAGGCGCAAAAGTGAGCAAGATCAGGCCGGGACCGCCGTGATGTGGCACTAGTGGCAAATAGGACGAGTAGAATACGCTGATGGGAACTTGATGGTAATTTGTATGTGTATATCGTGTCCTGTTTGGAGCTGGTTGGCAATGAACTGTTAGGGAAACGTGCCCATTTATGACTTCAGCTTATGCACTTCTTCGGCATATCACTAACCCTATCGTTTCTTGCCGCCGTATGTATTACATGACGTATCATCGGCCGTTTTCGGCTCTGCGCCGGTATCTTGGCGGGTGCCGTCTCATTTCTTACTCTATCTGACCCCGCTGTCACCTGCTCCAGCTACCGGGAGGGTCCCGGTAACGCACTGCGCTGCACCTACGAGGGTACGCTCAAGGATCTCCTGGTCGGCTACAAACCCAGGCAGCCCAAGCGCATCTACTACCAGCAGCTCTCGATCCGCATCAACGAGCTGGAAAACAAACGGCAGGTCAAGGTGAGTTGGAGTTCAGCGAGAGGCTGGCTAAAGGACAAAGAGACGGACTAAATTCATCATTCAATGATAAACAGTTTCAAGTTTAGGCCTACGACGTTGGGGTTGGGAGCTAAGTGGACTGGGTTATTAGTTTGCCCGTCGTAACGTTCGTCCATCTAACCGTCGCACCATTTTCCCTCGCAGTGTATCTGGGTCGGTCCTCGCCTCAAGGAGGAGAAGGAGCTCGTGCTGTACCCGAACAAGGACGGCACGGTGGCAGACCTTCTCGAGGAGGCGGCCAAACAGGTGCAGCTCGCTGACGGCGGCTCGGGCCAGCTGCGACTCCTGGAGATCGTCGGACACAAGATAGTCAGTGTGGTGAAGGAGTTTACACACCTGGATACCCTGCCGGTCGGCTCGGCCAAGGTGGGTGCAAGGGTGGAAGTTTGGGGGACTGGTGTTGAAAGTTGGGGGAAGGGGGTATATGCAGCTGTGAGGGAACGTGAAATACGTACGAAATAAAGTCTGTTCCATACCGAGCTGAGTTTGATTTTTTTTTTCGGCAATTATCTGCTTCGTTCAATTCGTCTAATATACTAATATCTCAGCAACCGGACAAGCGATCGGGATGGAACCAAAAAATACGTGACGAGAGTTTAACAGGCTGACGTAATACCCCGTCGCGACGCGAAGCGAGCGGCAAAAGTCGCTTGTATAATAGCTATGTGTATAGAAATCACGCCCTGCTTTGAGCGGGGCACTTTGGCCGCCCGAGCTTGATATGGAACAGACAATAGTAGAGTTTTTAAGTCATGTGCAGCAGGGGGGGGGGCAGTGAAGGGCGTGGTGCGTTTTGGGACTATAGGCTGACCGCTTAGGCTGACCGCTTTTACTGCATTTTTTTACTTCCACGGACCCTTCCCTAATGTATGGCTGGCCTCTTGGCACTACAGTACCCCCCAGGCAATTCATCGTTGACTGTCTCCCTACATATATTCTTCCTCTCTTGGTGACATCCCCTATGAATTTCTCTTCCAACTATGTAGTTATCTCCTCGCTGTAACCATCTCTTCCGTCTCCGTGTCAGGTGTACCGGGTGGAGGAGACGCCGCGTGACGAACTCAAACTAGAGGAGGACGAGCTGCTCGTGCCGTGCGCCCACTTCCAGAAGGAGATCTTCTCCACGTTCGGTGTGCCCTTCCTGCTCCGAGTCAAAGACGTAAGTGGTCTGCTTTGGTAGTGTGAGCACTTAGAGACGAAGTGATCCGACGGATTATCCTTGCGGTTTGCATGCTGCGGTCTGCCAGTTACCTGACCTGACCTGACCCGTCCGCAGGGAGAGCTGTTTTCGGCAGTCAAAGAGCGGATACAGAAGAAACTCGAGGTTCCAGACAAAGAGTTTGAAAAGTATCGGTTCGCACTAGTGTCTCAGGCGACGCACAAGTTTGTGCCAGAGGAGGCCGACTGGCACCTCAGTCTACAGGATATTCGGCCCAAGATTGGCTCAGGTGAGAACCGGTTTCCGACACTCACATGCTTATTGTCATACCACAGATTTACTGCAGGGTTATCCGCCCGACATGGGTGCATCACTCTAAAGTGGCCGCTGGGCAACAGCAATTGGGCAGCCGTTGCTATTCACGTGAGAAAGAAACGTTGCCAAGTTTGTTGGTTGCTGACTTTCAGTTCTTAGTCGTATGCCATGCTCCTCGTACTTTGCACGTCTTATAATTCGTATTTGACGCACCTTACATGAATACGTTCCAGTTTAACCCGCGACCTGGTGGGGGGGGCTATTTTTTGCCCCCCCCCCCTCCAGACTTTTCGATATATCTCCAGAACCGCTGCGCCGATCGTCACCAAACTTTCAGTACCCTCCCGGACATCAATTTTACACATGGTGACCAAAAATTTTTCCAAAAGCTATGATAGGTTGGCCGGAAATGACGTCAGAGTGACGTCATGTTCTGCCGTTTTCGACCCAAAAAAGGGTTTCGCGGGAAGAGCTGTCAGGCCTATAGCTTTGCAAACACAGAAAAATGTTTAGGACATAAAAGCTGTAGAATTGACAGGGCTACAAAACTGCTATCTCGGATTTTTGAATTTTTTTGATTTTGACCCCCAAAAATCAAAAAATATATTTTTGGGATATAATAGTCGAAAAATCCAAAAAGTTTTTTGAATTTCGCAAAAACCGGAATATATGTGATAGTCCTTACCGCCTTCCATCCACATACCAAATTTTAGATTGATACCTCTTTTTTTGGCGAAGTTATAGCGAAAAAAACTGTTCAAAATTGATGACGTCAAATTTTCAAACTCAATTTTCAGCAATTCTAGACCTCGTAGCGCAAAACAAAGACCACCATTAGACTCCCCGTGACGAGCTGCATCGAATCGATACCCTTTTTATGCAAAAATATCAACTTTGAAATTTGACCTTTTTTGACCTGACCTTGACCTGACCTCCACCAGAAAGTGACCTAAACCGTACCTGATGGTCTTATAACCAACACCATTGGGTTGGAAATGAAAAACTGGCCATAAAACATGCATCGCACAACCTTAGTAAAGTTGGGTTCATGTGGTGACCCTTGGTGACCTTTGGTGACCTGACCTGTGACCTGACCTGGTATGACCAGTGACCTCTAATAGCAACATATGTACTAGACAACTGACGTCTTATCGCTGATTTTCGACAAAATGCGTTTTACTCGGTGTTAAAGCGCTTTCCCTAGAAGCCCCGTGAACGGTGAAACATTTTATCTTTGACCTGACCTGTGACGTCATCGGTGACCCCGAGGTCAATAAAATTTGGTTTCCTTCGACAAATTTGACAGGGCTATCGAACGCCGTTTGAATTTTGCGGATCCGTCCAGTAGTTTCGGAGATACGAGGGGGGGGGGGCAAAAAATAGCCCCCCCCCCCACCAGGTCGCGTTATAAACAGACCCCACCAGGGCGCGGGTTAATAAACCCTCAGCCGGTACTTTATAACAGGAACGGCTATGGCTGTTTGAAAAGCTGAACCGTAAGCACACATTTGACCTTGATGTCTGAGCCACCAACGCGTTCGGTTAGCTGCCTTCTGACGCCAGGCCGGGCACAAGTCAGCGAACGGCTGTGGATTTAACAGGGCTTGGGACTGATTAAGTGAGATAGCAGGTTCTTAGCTAATGTGGTGCGTTAATCATGACAGATACTGACTGAATGAACACAGCTGAAAGTGGATGTGGTATTTCGTGGCATTACATTTTAATACGTGACTGGTTTAGTTCGTTTACGATTTGTTCGTAAACGACTGGTTAAGTTCGTTTGGTTTATGGCTCAACAGCTGAGCCTGAAACCAAAAGCGAGCTGCGGATGAAGCGTAGCTGACTGGCAGTCGACACTGTCTTCCTGGCTATTTGGGAAATGCTGTCGGTGGGATACACGTTTTGTTAAGGAGTTTGGGTGAAGGGGATGGACCTGGGTGAAGGTTTCTGGGTAGCCGGAGCCACCCATGAGGAATGGTGAGAGCCGGCTGGTACCGGTCACTCCGTACACTGTTGGCAGGATGGATGATCGGAAAGCTGACCGTTATCAGGAAATATAAGAATATTGTGTGAGTGCTTGCTTTGGGTTCACGCTCTGACTTTGCTTCTCCAATTACAGGTCTTTCTTATACAGAAACAAATGACTATCAGGCACATGTTAGGCGCCTGCTACATATTGCTAATCGATCGTGCTTGCTGCGTCTTACCAAGACGTCGTTTTGACTGTTCTCCCCGCCATTTTCAGGCTCCTCGACTCTCTCCTGGCTGGGTCTGGAGCACATGAACAAGACGCCAAAGCGCTCCCGATACAACTACCTGGAGAAGGCCATCAAGATCTACAATTGAGCTTGAGAAGGCGGCGGAGCCGACAAACGCTAGTTGGGCGGGCCGCCAATAGGTGGCGCCACCGTGTACAGTGTTGATTGGCGGCCGGGCTCGGGCCCGTCGCCCCTGTCGAGCTGTGATTACCCCCTAGCTAGGGACGCGCGCGTGCGTCCGCAACAGCAGCGGGCCAGAGCGCTACTGAGCTGCTGAGAGAGAGAAAGAGCGAGTCGAGAGAGTCGAGAGAAAGAGCGCGCGAGCGAGCGATCTGAGCTGCCAAGCGGCCCGTGGCGCGCGCGGGCCGCGCACGGCCGAGTCTCACGGGCAGGGGGCGCCGCGCGGGCCGGCGCGTCAGCCGGCGCCGGCCGAGACCGTTTGTTTTTACCTCCTATTGCCCGCGGACTCTCCGCGCACTACCTGATCGTGATCGTGTCTGCCGATAATGATTTCTCTTTGACCGCCGGCCGAGCGCCGACAGCGCCGCCACACGGCCGCCAGACGAAACGACAGTTGCTCGCAGTGCCACAGTGTGGCGCTGACCGAGTCCCTTGCGATTTGAGTTCATTCCAACAAATTCTGAGGCAGCCGAGGTTGAAAAGTAAAACACCAAGTGCTATGTTTTAATAATAAATTATGACAAATGAATGGTATTTTGTGTTTATCGTCGTGGCCTGGTGATGCAGGGGGTGCTGAATACCTTAGCAGTTAGCAGTCTCAGGGCCTGAAAACTATGATCTTCTTTTTCGGAGTCGTACTCACTTATGCTAGTGAGTTTACTGTTTCATTTTACCGCAATATCAGAACTCAGAAAGTGGCTTATACTACCACGAGTAGTTACTGCTAGATATTCAGATTGAATTAACCAATCCGTGAACCCAAAAATCCGCTCCAATCATAGTTACGGCACTCGGCCGCCAGGGGCGCTGTCACGCGAACGGCCTTGACCGCTCGCACGTGTCAGCGGCAGTTCGGTCCCGTTATTGATAGCTTGGGAGCGCCTGTCGCCTGGAGCTCTGAAGTCTGAACGTTGATTTAGGCGATCGTGTTGCTCCGTGTCGGTAACGTGTTGGGTGTATTATCACGCGCACTTATTGAAGGGGGTGGGGGTCGGATAAATAGGTATCCGTAAAAGAGGCGGATATCTATGGAAAGTCAGTACCCCATAATTTTTACAATTTTCATGGCGTTGCATGCCCTGAGCCCAACGACATTTGAACCGCGACATCTTCCTAAAGGTCATTGCTGGCCAGAATACCAGACACTTCTGCGGTAACAATTGAATGCCTTGACCGATTATATGAGTAGATATGACCAGCCCACGATTTTAAGTATTCACTGCTGAAAATGTAATTTTGGGTACTTGACCTAGCTCTGACCTGTTCCTGGGCACATTTGATCCAAGAATCGAAAGTAGGTATCTCGTGGCGAGCTTCGTATTGCGACGTAGCTCCCGGCTCTGTGACCGTTGGCTTAAAGGTAGTGTGCCAGCTTTCTTGGACCATATGGAGTTAATGACCCGGATAAGGAGAACCGGATTTTTAGAACTTATCCATACCTTCAAAACTTATGGAAACGTCTTAAATTCTTCAAATTTTGAGTACCCCAGTGCGAAATTCGCCCCGACGGGTTGTCGGTCGTACCCCAACCACATTTCACACCACTATGAACAATAAATGCACACACTAAAATCGCTATTACCGATAGGCTCATCCAATCAAGTTTCGATAAACCCGTTCATCATCATCTCCTGCGGTTTCGAACACGCCTGTTAGGTGGCTTCTGATGCTCGTCGAGGTCGGAATTTCCAAATACGCGTGGTGCGTCGGGCCGCGCGCTCTGACTTCGGCCAAGAAAAAATGCGTCAGCTGATCATTGTCATTTCTGCCACTTGCGTGTGGTGTAATGGGGTCATAACTTAAGAGACGGCTGTTTCATATCAATTATTTTACATAAAATCATATTTCAAACCACAAATTAATGTTCGACAGCCAAATTTAAGAAACAATACCAATACAGGCTTACAGTTTAAGGCTCGACATTGTGTTGTCTCCGATTAGACAGCTGATAACTCATTCCCGTACGTCGTATGGTCGTAACACTATAATGACCTTTGCTTATTGTCACAAGTGCGCCGCATTCGCGATTGTTGCCCGACGCCTGTTTGCAGGTGAGCCCACTACAGTTGTTATACATATCTAAAAACCGATAAACTTTTAGGCGAAAAAGGCACTATTCCAGGCCCATTTTTGATTTTTTTTTGCGATATTAGGTAAAAACAGAAGCTTCTTATCCTAGGAAAAATAAAACGGGAAATCTTTCAAAGGTGGCACACTACCTTTAAAAGTTACCAGCTGAGGACTTTTATGCTCCCCCCCCCCCTCCCCCAAGCTGGGTGGCTGGCGAGGGACTTCAGCGGGTCCCGTAGCTCAGTTGGTAGAGCGTTGGACTCCGCGTGGTGAGAGCACGCGTTCCCGGTTAAAACAGTCCGGGTTCAAAGCGCGACAGGCGCTTGACGTTATGGCCCTCCTGACAGGTATGGCTGCAGTTGGTGGCAGGCCGTAGCCAGGCGAAGTCAGCGAGGGGACCGGCCGTGCGCGGCTATGTGCGCACGTTAAACTTTGGACTCTAAATTCTGCCATAGAACCGGAATTGCGCGATCGGAGGGTAGAAGGCAGGTTCAACGCAACAAGCTTCGCTTAGTGGGTGCTCTGTCTTTGTGAATCCTTCCTTTCAAAATGTTCGGGCTTCGGACTAAAGCTATTAAAAAGAAAAAATGCAGGGTTATCTCTCAGTAACATCCTGGGGCCAGTGAAGGGTAAGTTAATGGACACCAGTATAATTAATGACTTTTGGCCGGCAGCGTCATTCAGTGTGAGAACGGACGGTATTTAGCCGGCTTATCAGGTCTTCTGACGGTCAGAGAGAAATCAGAGAGTGGAAGAACGGCCAGAAAGGCGAGTAGTGGGCAACGACTCAAAACTGTAGTGAGGCCGGTTCTCTGCTCGGTACGGTGATCCCACTCCATTCTTCATGAGTGTCAGTGGACCAAGGTCTATTCAAACAGCAGCCGGGTACATTTTTACCTCTCCTCTGCTGTCTGATGCCTGTTTCTCTCCGCACTGCGATGAATCGGGCGGAATGTACTAGTGCTATGCTCTATAACATTTAGCTGCGCGTGACTCGGGAGACAGGCTGAAAAAAAATCTTGAAAAGCATCGAATGATGTTGGGGAAACTTTGAGGTTTCCAGGGGGTATCGAAGTCTAGTAGGAAAATCTGGCAAATTCCCTGCGTGACGTCACGTCGGGGATGACCGACGGCACCTTGCACTGAAAGATACGGCAGAACGGCTATTTTTGAAAAATGATTAAAAATACTTTTGTGCTGTTATGACGCATAAAACGCTTATCAGCATGTTCCTCATCATGTGATAAAGGCATATCCGCGGTCGAAAATAGCTGAGCCCCTCCCAATTTCCAACCACCGACCTCATAAGCAAAGGATGTAAGCGTAATCCTTACGGGCGACTTTCCTAGACATATCCGTACATATGCGTCCTTATGGAAATCGGTAGTGTGGCGATTAGCGACGCGCGCGACATCTGTGTGGCGACCAAGTGGCGACTGTGGCGACACCTGGTGGCTGCTTTTCTGCTGTATGTAGGCATTGGGGTTTTGCCAGATGTGGTTCCTACTGCTACACCACTATGTTGACCCAATACTAGAAAAGTTATTTTGCTAGTAAAAGGCAAGCAAATTGAAAGTTGATTTATAAAATTGCTTTTAAATGATTACGAGATAATAATAAAGAAATTTTGATTGAATAATTATTTAAATTATCAACCGTGAAACTATATTCTGGTAGGTTTAGTAGAAATAAGTCCGTGCAACCTTGTATTTAGGGCCTTGGAGGTTTCGATCGATTGTTAGACGCTACGGTGGTATAAAAGTAAAATATGTAACTAAAAAAGAAATCAACTTAGGATGCGGGATAAACACAAGCGGCACATCAAAACAACGTTTAGCACGGCATTGTGTATTTAGTATTGCTCAAAGAATCGAATCATCTTGGTCGAGCCTGAACACATCCCAAAGACTTCTCGTCATTTTTCATCCATCAGCAGCAGCAGATCAGCTGACTGTAAATTTCCTGATGCCGTTGTTGCCGCGCAGCTCTCCGCCTGGGTCGGTCGACTCCGATGTTCAGTCCTGCCTGTGGTGTGCCTGCCCGGTGAAACGAAGAGCCGGAACCAGCCGCTCCTCTATCCCCGGCGCGCGCTGTAGTAGCGCACGTTGGCGCGACGGAAACCGCCGCCGAAAGCGCCGCCGCGTCCGCCGCCGCGGTAGTAATTATCGTCGTAACCGTCGTAACCGTCGAAACCGTCGTAACCGTCGAAACTGTCGTATCCGTCGTTACCGAAGGCCTGGCTGACGCCGACGCAGACGGCGATTACGACGCCCAGCAGGAGGAAGGCGGAGAGCTGAGGGCAGAGAGAGGGAGGATTAGCGGGGGTAGCGAGGGGGGCAGGGTCAGGTCAGGGGGGACTGAAATACAGGGTGTCGGGTTGGGGGGCTGGGGGAGGGTAGGCCAATCAAGGGTGTTGGTCAGGGAACTGAGTAAGAGGGAAATCGGTCAGAGGGGTACTCGGGTGAGGGGACGGTCAGTCACGGACTCTCAAGGAGCTGAAATGTAGAGTACACAGAGCTGGGGGACTGAGACGAGAAGAGGGAGGTTCGAGGGTCGATCAAGGGGTGGATAGGTCAGTCAAAGATATTGGTTAGGGGGCTTAAATATAAAGCCGTCAGATATGTTTGGACGTAGACTGACTGGAGGGCAGATTGGGGGAGATGGGAGGGCAGAAAAACCCGACTGAGGTCGATCGATATGGCAAAATGTTAAGGCTGATGTGTTATTATTTTAACGGATATTCCCGTTTAATTTCGAGCCCCTCCAACTCCAGCAGTTGTCAATTGACAACAACCATGCATGAGTCATGAAGTTGCGAGACACTGTTGAGAACCAAAC